TACATTTTGTTTACAGCGTTGTATGACTAAATACTGTATTTATTTCATTAAAATAAATGACCACTTTATTTTCAGTTTAGAAGAGGGAGTAAACTTTGTGCAAGGGCGTTTGAAATATTGAAGCATTGCTCTGCTTTCATTTCAATATCGTTGTAGGTTATTGCTTTGCTTATAAATTCATTTATTTTCGAAAACTGCTTACAACTAAGGTACAGGAACATAATGGTGAAAATTAAATTATCACCAATTAAGGGACAGGTTGCACCAGGTCTCCTGTTGTTACTAAGCCCGGGGCAGCTCGCTATATAAAGTGGCGCATTCCATCAGCGAAGGGGCCTCATTCACATCCAGTACGTACAAGGGCATTGGACAGAGGAAAGGAGGGAAGGTGCCGAGGACTATCGAGTGAATGAACGGGAGGGTTGATGAAGAGCAGTGGTGCAGTGCTGCCAACCCAGCTATCTGAGTTAAATTCCTGGCCATGGCTAATATCAGTGGGGAGTGAAAATATCTTAACTGGACCTGGGTCTGCCCACCTTTAAACACAGAAGGGATTGCCTTCCTGCTCTAAAAAGCATTGAGGCATCGGTGCTCATCTCCTGTTTACACCCTTGAGCCGGTGGTGGAAATTCCACATTCCTATGACATGTGGGAGTATTATTATTTTTTCCAAAAGTATTTTATTGAACAAACGATTCAGTTACACACGGAGGGCATGCATGGAAATTGACACCAGGATAGCCACAATGCAAAGTACAATTACTATTACCAACGATTTATATTTTGAACCTATCTGTGTGTTACAATACACTCTACATACCTGATGTTAACTTCCTTGACTCGGATAACCCTTTAGGCAAGTGTTCTTCACTAATGTTCAGAGAGGGGACACTTTCTCCGATAAGACATCATCAGTGTGAGGGCCGCTACACATTTGAAACCATTGGGGGTTGACAGCAGCCCGATGATGGGGGGGGGGGGGGGGTGTTTTCACTCGTTGCGTATTGTCAGGGGCCGCACACAAGGAGCCGCACTCAAGGCCACCAGGGGCCGTGAGTGGCCCGCGGGCCTTGCAGTGAAGAACGCTGCCCTCGGGGAAGGGCAGGGAGGGGGGGAGAAGGGGATGGGTGGGGGTGCCTAAATGCCCGAATGGACGAGCTTAAAAACCAATGGCCACTGCAGGAGAAGCCGTGAAAGGGATCCAAGTTTGGTGATAGACTTCTTCGTTGCCCCTTAATTTAATACGTGAGTATTCTTAATACAACCGCTCTTGTCTTCCACCCAAAGTTTTAGCCTATTTTATCAACCACGTAAGGATGATGTGTTGAGTCAACCCGCAACCCGGATTTGAACTCGAAACTTTCCAATTACAAGCTGCTCACTCTACCGCTGAGCTCGCCTGGAGCAACTCGTCATGACCATCGTGGTGACGGATTGCCAACAAACCCCGTGCCAGATGCTGCTTACGCAGCCCTTCATGCAGCAGTGGATTTACAAAGGCCTGTACAACACGAATTCACAGCCACAATATGTTTTAAACTTAATTATTTAAACGCATGTGTAGAATTGTTTATTGTATGTTTATGTGTGTAACGATGTGATGGCGCTTTGGGTGGCAGATTTGTGCCAAAAATGCGCCACGTGTTAACCCAGAACAAATTGACTTGACCTGCAAACTAAAGCAAACGCTGATCACCTCCATTGAGTTTCTGACCCAGTGCCATGCATACATCGTGAGGTCAGCGTGGAACAGTAGGGCAATATTAACCCCTCGAGATGCCCAATGCAAAAAGCTATTTTTCACAACTGTCCAGTAGATTATTTGAGAGACTAATGGTGGAGCCAGCGATGAGGAAACATTGAGCCAGTGCCACCGTGATGAGCCGCTGCCTGGTGCCTCGAGAAAGGGTCACAAATTGTTGGGGGTTCAATAGGAGGAATGATTTGACCAACACCAGAGTTGTAAGGTTGAGGAGGTACAATCAGCAAGGTTTAGCAGACCCGGAGTGGAGGAGGTTCGTGTGGTGTATAAATCAGTGTGACCGTCAGAGGTGTGATAGTAACCGCCGTGGCTGCCAATGAGGCGACCAATTGGGGGAGATGTGTAGACCAAAAAAGTAACAAAACACATCTTTACATATCTCTCCCGCCACATAATTATATAGATATATTTCATTTCATCAGGCGTACAGAGCCTTCTGGGAGTTAATTACTTCAAAGGCAACCCTCAAATATGATTTGGACTCATTGTCTTCCCCGCTTTAGTCGAGCTCTACACGAGGATTATTTTTGAATAAAATAATATTGAGAACAATGTGTGTCGTGCTATTTTTTTATTGGGCACGGCCATCTCAGCTGAATGTACCTAGCCATTACACCTCTCGACATGGGTTAGCTGTGCACGCTGTTTGTTCGTTCGAGACAAGTCTTCTTTATTTGTCAAGTTCACATGCCGATGCGTGGGTGAAACAACGGAGAGTGACTCCATTGGCTGCTCACAGGAGTCCCGTGGTCTCCTTCACCATTGTTAGATTTTCAGACAGCTTTTGCGATCAATGTCGTTTTGTTGGTGGTGGTGCGGTTATTGTTTGACTGCCAGAATGTATCACTACTTGTGTGTGTGTGTGATGTTTGTGCTAGTGGGGAGCGGTGGCGCAGTGGTTAGCACACAGCGTTACAAACACGGCGACTCGAGTTCGATTCTTGCTCATGACCAACACCAGTGACGATGATCTGAACCGGTTAAGGCCCTCCCCCAGATCGACGCAGCCTCAAATGAGTACCTGATGTGATGTGTAAACATCGCCACAAGGGAGACAAAGCTGGCCAGGCGTTGTACTGGCCACCCACCCCCTCGTGTGCCGTGTTGGCCTTTATAGGTGCTCGCGAACAGCACTTGCCCCAACAGTCTGTTAAGGTTATACGGGGGAGCTTAGTCTTTTTTTTCGCGCTAAGAATGTCTTGATGGACAACAGAAAAGAAACCTCTTTTGTTGTTGCAGAAATGTCCTTTTAATTAATCACTGGAGAAGATACCCAGCCTCAGCACATCATTCCAACGGCTAAGACGAGGAGTGGGCTTGGGCAGGACACCTGGAATTAAGGGATGATGGAGGCTTGTCAAGAATAATAAAGAAGTAGCAGCCTTCCTGCCACTTCTTCACATCCGAGAGGGCATTCGCCACGGATATGGAGCGATGAAATCAGCTTGTATATAAGTGGTAGGTGGATTGTTGCATCGCAGGATAGTGAGAGATAGTGGTGTCTTCATCCACCAGTGGATTAACCAATTCTGATGGTACAATTTTTGGTCACGCTTGCATAAAATATATATTTGTTTTAATCTAAGCGATGCTCAAATGAGTTTGTGTGGCCACTGGTGGAAATTCCACGTTCTCATGGTGGTGGTCAGTCTCTCCATAGGATGACTGCTTTATTTTTGTGCTATGGATCACTGTGTGTGTGTACTTACGAATGCATCCTTGACACATTATTGATTTGAAATAAGCCATACATAGAAATGGACAACTAAAGGCAAGCATAGTAAGGGAGGTAACTGACAAATCGCAAGGGCAAGCGGTACTACGACGTAGTTACTGTACTGTATTCTGGCAACAGTGTGGGGAAGCCTGCATCTAGCAGTGGATAGACCATGCTTGATGGTGATGATGATGGGGATGGCTCTATTCTGTGTGAGATCTCAGCCTTGAGCACAGAGTCAAGTGACACGTGGTGCCAACAGCAGCAGGGCAGGTTTGAGTCTGCTGCCACCACCTGGTAAACGTCATCGTCAGCAGCATGATAATCGCCAACATCAGCCCAGCGAGAACATTTTACTTCTAATACAAATTAGCTTATTCGTCATACATATTTTATGGATAACAGGTAATTAACTATTCATATGCAAATTTTCAGCTGTTCATCAGCTATAAAGATGTGTAGTGCTAATCAGGACGCGTTGTATAAAAAGTGCAGTCTCTCAACTTTTGCTATCCATAATATATTTTTTTAGTATTCTTTGGGTCTTTCGGTTAAGTCACGTAGAACAAAAACATTTACAAAAAAACTACGACTTTTCAATCGAAACGTCGTAGTTTTTTGTAAAAAAAAAATTGTTCTACGTGACTTTACCAAAAGACCCAAAGAATATGAATTCCTGCAGTCACGAAAGCTTTAAGTCAAGATTTTTTTGGGTTAGATCGCATAAATATAAATGTGTCGTTAAACCCACCACCACCCGACACAGCCAACTAGTACGTTTTGCCACGTAAACAAAACGTGCCAATTCGTTACGAGTACAGCACACCGGTGTGTTGGAGAGTAAATCCACAACATTAACAATCTGAGTACGACGTTTCGCATGTGATTACAGTAAGCATCATCAGACGACCGCCAGATTGCTATCGACTCTACATATAAACTATAAAAAAAAACTCTCAACTATCTTTTTTCATTTACCAGGTAAGGCCCACTGAGCTATATAGTTATTTTTCAGAAGCTACCTGGTCATAAATGACAGCTCAACGAAGTGGCTTATCGCTTGGAAATGTAGAGCTGCCAAATACTTTAAACGCACGTTTCTAAATGTGGAGGGAAAAACCGGAACACCCGAATAAAAAATCCACGCGACTACGGAGATAACATGCAAACTCCAAATTTGCAGGCGTCAAGGTCGGGATTGAACCCACGACCTCCTGTATACCAGGCGAGGTAGATAACATTTCCGAGCCACCGCTCGCCCCTTTCTGGCGTCTAAACGTGCTATGATGGAGGGACATTGCCCGAAACGTCGCCTATTATATTGAAAACCACACAATGTTATTGACGAACTCATTGAGTTTATTTTTATCGTGCTTATGCACCACTGCCAACGCAGCGCCACCATATTATTATTTCGTGTATAATTAAGTAGTTATTAATTATTAGATTATTCGATTACTAATTATTACAATCTGACACATGCCCTAGTTTTCACAGCGAGTCACCCCCAACTCTCGCGCGCGCTGTGGTCCAACGTCATCGTGACGTCATCGCGAAGAGGAAAGTGCCGTTGGCAACACAGTCTGAGGCGGCTCGCGTCGGCAAGCGAGTAATATTTAAACTATTTAATATCAACACTTGAGTAAACCTTGCGACGGAAAGATTACTTTAAAATACATATAGTTTACTGAAACGGTGCTAATGTCTGCGACTATGGACTGGAAACAGCTGCTAAAGGACCGGTTGGCTGCCTCTAAACACGGTGAGGCCTCGTAGACTAGGCCCTGTATGCTACTCGCCATCGGCCGTGATCGATCCACTGCTGGACGGCGAGGCCTTGCTGCCGCCCTAAGCCACCGCCACTTCTCGCACGGCCCTGCGACGTAACAGTACCATAGAACAGCTGCGCACGAGCTGATGCCATCGCTCCGTCTCCTTCGTGGACGTGTCCGTCTCGGCGTCTTCGCTCCCATCCCTTCCGCTCGTCCTGACCCCCACACAATCCCCTCTCGCCACTTCTCTCCCGGCCCAAGCCCCGCTCGCTCGCTCCTCTCCACACTCCACACTCGGCGTCTTCGCTCCCATCCCTTCCGCTCGTCCTGACCCCACACAATCCCCTCTCGCCACTTCTCTCCCGGCCCAAGCCCCGCTCGCGTCCTTCGCTCTGCACCTCCCATGAGACGCTCGTCTCGTTAACACGTCTACGCTTCTTTGCGCACTTTTCAATGTCCTGTGTTGCTTGAAATTGTCCACGCTTATAAAGCGTTTACTTTATAACAGGTAAAGCAACTAATTTGAAGAAAAAAAGAATTGTAGGCACATTGCCATGTTGCTTTTCATAACACTTGAGTTTTTCCGAAGCACTCTAGCTTACTCTCAAAATTAAATTTGAGTTGAAATACATAGTATTGTTATGGTTTCTAATCTGGCATTGTTATAGTCGTATTGATCATCAACGTCAAGTCTTATGGAGTGGTGGAAATTCGACATTCATATGGCAGGGGGAAGTCCCGTAAATAAGGCTACTACGTATGACTTCCCATCAAGTGATAACCGATTTTAATGACCACGGATGGATGAATGGCCGATCGTGTCTCGAACTTGAAACCTGATTAGATAAAAGTACTAATGTGCAATAGAGTGAATGTTTTCCATTAATGTGGAATAACGATATGCGTTTGAGATGTAACAATTCTATCTATTCTATTTCGTTGTCCTAATTATGGGTTACAAATCAGCATTTTGTTGTCGTGGGTTACAGGTATATGTAACATCTCTGTTGGTATGATTCTGCAGGCTCTATTTGCATCCTGCAGAGAAGTATAGGTATTAATGTTTTAACGCATTGTGTTGACACTTGATGTGTCTTGCTTTGATGGTGCGCGAACGCTGACACTGACCTTGCTTTTGTGGCTTCAGTGTGGCGCTCGGAGCAGGAGATGAAGGATGAGGAGAACGAGCTCTTTCAGAAGTTCTACACCGACTGGAAGGGAACCAAGAGGGAGGACAAAACGCTGAAGGCCATCCCTCGCTTCTACTACCGGGTGGGCAGACAGTCATTTCCTGGCATTCCTTGCTCATTCCAACGTTGCTAATAAATCTTTATTTTTCGTGCCAATATCGCCCTCAATAGAGTAGGCATCAGTGCAGCAGAACGGGAATGGTTGCAGAGGCATAGAGCAACATACATGCAAAATAGAATCCGTACTACCTCAGCAGCTTAACTTCTCACTGATTGTCTTCTGGGTAGTTTACTGACCTACTGTATGCATATTCCACGCAAATCACAATCTCCTCTTCCTTTTACATCTATAGCACTATCTTGCCACGTTCTGCTCTGAACTTGGGCGTTGCTTATCCTGTCCTACCTTGCCGCTCGTGTGATTTCATGCGGCAGCTGCCCGGTGAGGATGAGCTGCTGCTACAGAAGCTGCGGGAGGAATCGCGCGCCGTCTTCTTGCAGCGCAAGAGCCGCGAGCTTCTCGACAACGAGGAGTTACAGGTGACGGGCGTACGAGCGCGGACGTACACACGTGTCCCTTGTTACAACATTAGGCTCAATTTGTCACAACGTTTTCTGGGTCGATGGTAGCCTGGAATAGGCACGTGACTATTAGCCACAGCTATCGTGGGAGGTATACTGGATGTAGTGTGCCGGTTGGGTAAATAGTTTTACATGTCATGGACCTGAACAGGTCATGCTGAGTTTAAGCCCTAGTTACACCACCGGCAGTGGATCCGAAAACAATAGCAGCGACACTGGTGGGGTTGTAATACATTATCATTTGTAACGAACGCTTCTTCATAGCTGATGAATGTCAATGTTGGATGATCACTGTCGTTTATTTTGCCTAATGTTTTATTATTAATGGTATAATGCATGAATGTATAACAATAAACTGTCTGTCACGTATATATCTTAAAAGTTGGAGTGAAGTGCGTGCACACACACAAAACTCCCTGGTGTAAACGAGCGTGGGCGTGATTAACACTTGTTGCTCTGCACAGAACCTGTGGTTCCTCCTGGATAAGCACCAGACGCCGCCCATGATCGGTGAGGAGCAGATGATCAACTACGAGAGCTTCCTGAAAGTCGGAGAGAATGCTGGCATGAAGTGCAAGTCAGTAGGCCACCCTATCTGCCCCTTCTTCTTTCGTACGGCTGATGTAGATGCAGAGCAACAACTCTAATTTCACATTCAGGTGGTCAAGCCAGATAACCGCACCAGGAGTAGTGGAGTGTATCCCTGTGATGTCTCCTTCGTATTTGTGGATCGGGACATTGCGTCGTTATGTGTTGTACAGTCTGTTCTGGATGACCCCAGTCGCACACTGGAGAGTTTTTAAGTTTCCATTAATGCATCGGATATCTGCGGATGTGGTTTAGGGTGAACCATGATCTGCCCCTAATATCTGCCCCTAGTAATAGCCCATAGGTCAGTCTGGAGTGTATTTATAAAGACAATGCATACACGTGCCTATTTTCTTTAAAGAAAGATGCAACCAAAAATACAATGAGCTGTTATATTGAAGATACAGACCAAGGTTGTGTGTCACAGCCTGTCTGGCATGATTTTGATGCCTTGTTAATTACAAAGACATTCCTACATGATTTGGACAGGCTCTGGTGAATTGACCAGAGACTGCATGGCTGCTGTGCTTTTTAATGTATTGTCACTGCAGAGACATCGCAGGAGACAGAAAGTAACCTTAAAGTATTTTTTTTAACCATTAATTAAGATATTAAACTCGTTTCAAACAAATTAAGGCAGACCTCTTCATGAGTTACAATGCCACTCACTGGACCAATCAGCCTATCATCCCTCTGGGGTTACTAAAATAGGTCATGTTTTGGAGGGAGTCAAAATCATTGCCCGTACATATTGACCTACTACCAAAGGAATAATAAATTTTCTCCACTGGCTCAGGTCTGCCAAAGGAGATGAGCAACCATAATAGAGGTTTTTTGGGTTAGATTGCGTAAATATATAAAAGTGTCGTTAAAACCCGCCACCACCCGATACAGCCAATTGGTAAGGTTTGTCACGTAAACAGAACGTGCCAATTCGTCACTAGTACAGCACACCGGTGTGTGTTGGAGAGCCAAGCCACAACATTTACAATCTGAGTACAATGTTTCGCCAGTAATTACAACTAGCTTCATCAGGCGACAGCCAGATTTGTGGAGAAGTCCACTTGTTTCGTTCCTTAAATAGAGGGGTAGATGTGGTGCGCACGCTTCTGCGCTCTTGCGCCACGTGGGGGGGGGGGGATTACTGAGTCAACGTGCATTACGCATGTTCATTATGCGAGCCCTTTGATCTTGTCCTTCCTGTACATTGTGTGTATTAAAATAGCCGTACCAATGGTAATCTCTATTGAAGTATGCTGCCCTTCATAGGAATGCATTAAAATATTGTATTATTTGATGATTCGCTTCCACGCAGCACTAAGGCGGTCGCTATCCGAACGGTTTTAATGACACTTTTATATACTTACGCGATCTAACCCAAAAAAACTCTATTACGGATGATATTGGTCGCGAAAGCCCACGTGTTAAACAGAGATGAGCAACACCCAATGCTCATTTAAACAGTGAACCACTGACTTTTGATGATTGCAACATGTTTGTGATAAGCATGCTGATGACATTCATATTAGTAATGAAGGTCAGGATGGTATAAACCCTTGTGGTGGTTAATTGATCATACTTTAGCATGCTGGTCAGTGTGGGTTGGTGAATATGGGGGGCATGGATGTGGAAGCATCGAAGTACTGAACAATGGATTTTGCTGTGGTTCTCTCAGCTGCTCACCATGTAATCTCAAAGTCCAATAAGATCCTGCTTGTTCTTTACATGGTGGTCACCATGCTTAGCTTCCGAGAGTTAACAATATTGGGCACATTTTAAGTGATTTGGTCATAGGCATGTATTGCTACTATATATACTGTGTAGTTTCTCAAACCACTGAGCGTTTAATGGCGATATTGTGTCATGTCCACAGACAGTTCTTCTCAGCCAAAGTGTTCGCCAAGCTGTTGGATCGTGACCCCTACGGCAGAATCTCCATCATGCAGTTCTTCAACTATGTGATGCGCAAAGGTGGGTCTCCTATCGTCACCACCACCACCACATGGCCATGCTTTAAATAATAATTTATGGGCGTATGTCAATTCCACTTCCAGTTGAAGGACTCTACACATCATGTCGGTCACAGGGTAGTATGATCATGTTTGATCACGTTGGTCAATGCAGGTTGGGGAAGTGGATTGGTGGGCGATGACCGAGGATCAGTTCAGCTCATTCGCCACTGCTTTTTGCCATGGCTGGGAACTGAACTCAGAATTCCGGGTTGAGCCTGGCCAAGAACTTGGATGGGTAACTACTACGGCTTGCCAGGTGGGGTTTGGAGTTACCCTCTTGTCCGTGGATTTTCTCCAGGTATTCCAGCTTCCAGACAGCAAATGCTCGTTAATGGTAATTGTCAAATATCCCAATGCAAGACCCAACTGAAGACGTCTTGTGACACAGTGGGCAAAGTATTGGCATATTCCAATGAATGTACATCTAACAACTATGTGCAGAGCATGAAGAAGTCATGTCCAATGTTGGCTAAGAGAGAGTTGGTGAAGTGATTTCATAAGTAGTTCTATGGTGTCATCTTTCAGGTGTCATGTGTGATACTCTTCTGAATGAGATAATTCCAAAAATATGTTTTTTTGCTTAAAACATCACCATTATCAAGCATGTTTAATCCACTGCTCTCATCACTCGACGCCATTGTAACATTTGGAATCGCGCGATAATTAAAGTACTTTAAAATAAGTGTGTATTCATCCACATATAATTACGTGTACATAGGAATTAAATGCGGATATTTGAGCTGGTACTGTGTCGTGTGCATTAACATTCTGTTTCTGTCGATATCTGCCTAATTACTCTGCTGCTATCTCTTGCATGATCTGATTTCTCGTGATGTTGCCGCCCTTCTCCCGTTTGTGAGTGCAGTCTGGCTGCACCAGACCCGGATCGGCTTGAGCCTGTACGATGTTGCTGGGCAGGGCTACCTCCGAGAGTCTGTACGTCTGCCTACTACACAGCCGTGTCGTCGTGACCGGACACAAATATCACCACTCAAATATCAGTCGTCATATCTACTGTGGCATTGTATTAGTGTATGACAGTCCTGTCAACTTATCTGGGCGGCACTGGTCACATGGAACTTTTGCTTAGTGCACTATCCTTTTAACCTCGTAACTCCGGTTTGATTCCCAGCCATGACTAACATCACTGGCGAGATATATCTGAACCAGTCCTGGAGCCGCCCAACCCGCTCTGACCTACGTGATGAAGTATGGCCGAAAAACAGTTTTATAGAAACGTGTTCCATTGCTTAATCGGTTCATGCACTTCGTTTAGTTTTCAGTCTTGCGTTAAACCATTATTATTATCGTATGGTTGAGCCATGATTTATGGAAAGAGAGTGTCATCAATGGTTGAATGCATAACCTGGCTGAATTTGCTAATGAGCCATTTCAGTGTGGTATGCAAAGTGTGTGAAAAATCTGTGTACCATAGGGTACATTGACTGTTTTTATTTATGAAAGTTGTGGTATGAACACGATGTTAAACATTCATATGATATACATTTTTAAGTCTGTATCGGAAGCATTTTTTGCTGCATTTTTTTGATGAAATAATTAAATTGCGACAACTCTATCAAAAATAACAGAAATTACAGTCTTTGCTCTGTTGTGCAGTTTTACTAAACTTCACTGGTGATTACAATAATTGTATGTATGTATATTGAACTTCTTTTGCACCGTATCTAGCCAACCATACTAATCGGAGGTGTGGGACATTGAGCTGTTAATGCACTGTGAGGAAGCTGTGCCTGTCCTTACCTTGCCCCTTCCTGGCTCATGCAGGACCTTGAAAACTACATCCTGGAACTGATCCCCACACTGCCTCAGCTGGACGGACTTGAGAAATCATTTTACTCCTTCTACGTATGCACTGCAGTCAGGAAATTCTTCTTCTTCCTTGATCCTCTGCGCACAGGTAGAGGGACGTGGCCAAGTGCCTCAACGTCCGCTTGTGTTTCCTTGTCGTGTATTTATGCGCAACCGTGTGTTGTCTCTCATAAGGAATCTGTGTGTTGGTATGCCAGCAATGAAAATAATTTCATTTAAATCTATAAACACTTTATTGTTAAATGATCTGACAGAACCTATGCTTTCACGATTAGATATCTTTCTCTGGATGATTCCAGCTATGCACTGTTTCTCGAGTTGCCTCCGCCCCCCTTCTGCACCTGTAACAGATTGGGCCTGACAACATTCCACTCTGAAGAGTTTGAAACCCATTTTAGCCCAAAGAATTCCTACGGTTGTCGAGACAGTCCTCAATCCCTTTCGCTGCCCTCATACTTGTGTACAGAGATTGAGACATTTTACCTAAAGGGGCTGTGTTGGTTGTACCCCCAGCCCCGGCTGCCAGAATTACTCGTGGGGGCAGGGGGGGGGCTTTTCCCACTCTTGGGAAAGGGGAACCAAATCCAATGAGACAAATGGCAAAGTTAGTCAAATGGCAAAGTAAGAGGATGCCCTGGATAAATGATATTAAATACCTGGGCAATCATGAATATATTCGGATAATTATTGTGTTAACCTACACTTTTTTTGTTTTAAATAATCTTAAAGGAAGAACAATTAGTACAAGTATGTGTATTGATAGTGACAACATCTGGCAACTCCTGTATGAAGGAATGCCACAGTTGCACAAAGGAGTCCGGGTATTTGTAATATTGTGGCGACACAGAAAGTTGTGTGCTGTGGGACAGAGTTGTACGATGACGTTTCTGATGGAGGTAAATGTCAAACCAGCTGAAATTTACAGGCTAGCCTCTAGTCTGGTGATATGTGTCTCATGCAGCAGTTTCATGGTGAAAAAAGGTTTAAAAATTGGCACGAGTCAGTAAATGCGATGAGGATGTGAGAGCAGATGTTCTGAAACAGCTGCGCCCATGTCCTAATGAATTCTACGCAACTGAATATAAGCGCTTACAACACTGGCGGGACAAATGCTTAAGTGCAGCAGGGGAATTCCTTGAGTAATAGGGCAAATTTAATTTACTTAATTTCACTTTCAAATTATCTTAACTTTAATTGCAGGTTAACCTTGAACTACCCTTGCAGAAACAATCCATCCCTTGTGTACATAGCTTGCATGTTATCTGCATGCATGTGGTATTAGCAGTTGCTGTATTCGTGTTTCCCCTTTTGCAGGTAGAATTAAGATCCAGGACATTCTCGCGTGCGGGTTCTTGGACGATCTGCTCGAGGTGAGTCTCCATCTGGGTTGTAGCATCCACCTGGGTTGATTGCAGTAGCACACGTGACAAATGCTTGAAAATAGTTTCAAATGTTATCTGAAGGGTCCCACTCTTGTCCAATTCTAGACCCTGTAAGTGTGTATACGTGACCATCAATTGCAGTTTGTATCTGTCATTATTTCCTATGGCGTTTTTAAAGCAATTGACAAAACATTACAACTGTGTGAGTTTGGTCATCGATTTGATGATATAGGGAGTTGCTTGATGTTTAGCGTTCGTACCTTGTCGTATTTTAGATGTATAAGAGTGCCTTAACATAGTTTTAAAAGAGGTAACAACAACCGAGTGATTTATATGGCAGGGGCATGCAAGGGTCCAGGAATGAATGACCGGAGCAGAGGGCACACGAGGGTCACGAGAGGGCTATAGGGGAGGTACGGGACAGAGTGGAGGGGCGAGGGGAGGGAAGAGGAAGGGAATGGGTATCTCTTGTGTGAGCATACAAATGCAGTGGTGGGTTACGTGATGAACACGTTGCACTTCTCCAAATTCTCAAAAAGCAACTATCTAGCATGCACGAATCATTCACAACGTTTTGAGAACAATTTAAATTATGCACACATTTTAATGTTCATTGCAGTTACCTTTATAGACTCTCACCTGGTTATAAACAAAGTACATTTCTTTATGTAGGTTTGTATTGTTCCATTATACACTTTTTATTAAGACAAGGGCTTTAAAATAGAAACACTAGTACAGTAGTTTGTTTTGTTTTATTAGTTTGAAACATTTAAAGGTATATACTCTTTGGTTTTATTCGGTAAAGTTTCGTAAAAATATAAAAAACAAAAAATAAAATAAAATAAAAAATTCACTTGCTTGAATTTTTTATTTTTTGTTGTTTTATACTTTTACGTGACTTTACCGAATAGACCCAAAGAGTATGGATCCTTGCAGTCACGAAAGCTTCAAATCTAGAATTTAAAGGTATGTATTGCATGTATGTTTAGTGTTTAGTTTGTTGTCCTTCCCCCGCACCTCCGAAGATGAAAATACATTTGTAAGTTGAATTTCTTTAACACCGTACGTAGCCAACCGTGCTCATTGGAAGTAGCCAACCATGCTATTTGGAACCTCCTGTGACCAAATGTCCTGGAGTACACTTAATGTGGTTGTCTCACAAGCCGAGCATGTCTGGGCCTGTATACTGCTCGTGTGGGGGACCACCGTGCACAGACAGGCTGCCATAGTCCTCGGTGAGCTACCTGGTGGACACCAGAACATGAGGTCAAATAACCCTGACAAACCGCACAAGGGTAGGCCCTCATCCAGCAGTGGATTGACACAAGGGCTGTACGTGCACAATGCAGTTGTATTCGATACACATGTTATTATTGTTTAAAAAGAATTAATGCAATGCCCGAGTGTATTTCTGGTTTTCAAAAGGGCACCGCACATGATGCCTTAAACATTAATTAATGTCATTAAAATGTGCGTTGATGTAAACGTACGCGAGTCAGTGCGAGCACCTGCGTGCTTTCACTCATTTTTGAATCAATGGAGGGATAGATCCATAAAATCTTACTTAAGGAAATTGAGGTAGCACTTGGTTTTAATGAAGTGAAATTGTGGATAATTGCCTGGAAATTGCTTTGCAATTACAAAGTGGAATGAGCTTCATTAAAGTACATGCCTAATGTGAACTGCAGCTTTAACACATAACATCGGGCTGATGGCTTGTTTTCACGCACTTGGATATTTATTACTCTTGAGTGTAAATATTCTTGGTGTTATAAAAATACAACAAAAATTACATTACTATGAACATTGTTCATGTTTTTAAATTGTTATTTTATTGATTCATATTCATGCATATTGTTACTTGATAATTAAAGAGGTTCACATTTACAGGTGTCGCCACACTCCGACTGGGCAGTGCCCCAACTGAGTGGTCGGCAAGAAGCTAGTGCTGACAATTCCACGTTGCTATGGTGGAGACGCTAAGCATTTTTGAATTCACTCTTTTGCTCTCCATAACAGTAGTTATTTTATGATGGGCTAAGTTAACTCCCACCTACGATACCACCATCTGAAATGTTACACCTCTTTATCAGATTACATTTCTGTTTTTAGCATGAACTATGCTAATTGTACAACACAAGTCAGGTGACATAAGAAACTGCTGCTGTGTGAGCACATGCAAGTTATATGTTTCCTATCTTCTTTCTGAACCACACATGCTCACGTGAAAACATTTCCATGTGTTAGCGATTGTAAATTATTATTTGTCAGTCTCATCTTGCCTGTGTTTTTTGTTTTTTTGTAAACAGCTGAGGGATGAAGATCTATCTAAAGAGAGTCAAGATTGCAACTGGTTCTCTGCACCATCTGCCCTCCGTGTCTATGGTGCGCTTGCCACTAGAACCCCCCCCCCCCGTGTATACTCATCATAATTAGCACAGTTGGCTACGTACGGTGCGAAAGAAGTTCAACATACATTACCCATGTTTACTAGGCATGCAACAATTCAACCTCACGTGATATGGTGAATTGTTTTTATTTGGAGTTATGATCGAATTGTAGATTAATTTCCCAATTATTTTTGCTGTCTCATTGTTTCTCATTGGTTCTGTTTCATTAGTGCAGTCTCCATTACTAAATTAGCCTAATTGCTATTGCCATGTTATTGGCATGAATTATATAAGTAATTGATTCTTACATGGATAATCCCTGCGTGTATCCTCAGTATAATAATCTTTTTTAACTTTTGAATTGATGAAGCGTTATCTGATACAGTAAAGGTTCACCAAGTTAAAAGACCAACTTTTGGGAGGGTCCTGATTTAAGTTGTTGTCGCCTTCCCATATCTGTACATTTTTACACAAGTAGGAGGGAAACCCACGTGTGTATGGAGATGTCAATAAGATTCTGTACAGACAGCCTGGCTGCAACCCACTTGCTATACTGAAACCATGTTGCTGTCCCAAGTATGTTTTGGCATGTCCTGGGAGCTTCTTCAGGAACTGAAGCTCCTTGCACTTGGCCTGGGAAGCTCCTCGCATTAGGGAGCGAAAATGTCTAACATTGTGCCGAGCAGGACGCAGTAAAACTTGATAAGACACCGGGGAGCTATATAGCACAACCGTGAAAATCTACGCACCAGAAAATGATGTTATCGTGTATGGGGATGACTCGCAAAGATTCCTCCTACTCTGCACGATCTGTATACTCGGTTGTAAAATATGAATGCTTCTCGTTGTGTAAAGACGTGCACTGCAACCATTCTCTCATACGCCGCCGTTCGTGCTCTCTGTGTGACAGGGCAGTACCTCAACCTGGACAAGGACCACAATGGGATGCTGAGCAAGGAGGAGCTGTCACGCTATGGCACGGGCACACTCACAGGCATCTTCCTCGACCGCCTCTTCCAGGAGTGCCTCACCTACGACGGAGAGATGGTACTTAGCCCAGAGTGGAATGTGTGGTGTGTGTGCGAGTGGGGGACAGTACTGGTCACATAGAGGCAGCTGCTCTCCAGCGACAGTTAACACAACAGAGCGCCGGCGACTAAAATACAGCAATTTGGCACAGTGGAGGGCGCATTTTGCGTATTTGCCAGTTACCTCGGATAACCCTTAACACCTGGGTCTGTCCCATGACCTGCCAGTGAGCAGTCGACACATTTCCTCAAATTGTACCCAACCCCCACACTAGTGCTGTGGTGACGTCTCCATCACTTAGTTTTGAATGGCAGCGGTTGTGATGTATGTGGTGTACGTGCATATATGTAGTTCATCACTGCTATGATCCCAGTGACCTGTGGCTGCTTCGCAGTACAGAAAACATCAAGTGGAAAGTGATCTACGAGCCTGTCCTGAGCCTAGCATCCGATAGGGTTACTTGGTCTTCAATGAGTACCTCTGTGAATGAGCAGTGGGGAGACAAAGGCAGCTGAGCTTGATTCTGGCTACATCTCCCGCTTGTAATTGTACCATAGATGCTTGTTGACAAGCACTTGCCACAACAGTCTGTTAAGGCTATACGGGGGATCTTTGAGTGTAAATCTTTTCAATGTGTTCCTTTATGTGAGCAGGACTACAAGACGTACTTGGATTTTGTCCTGGCCTTGGAAAACCGCAAGGAACCCGCCGCCCTACAATATTTCTTTAAGCTGCTTGATGTTCAGAGCAAGGGCTACCTCAACGTCTTTTCCCTCAACTACTTTTTCCGGGTATGCCGGGAGTAGTGGCAAGTGTCCGTTGCCCACTTTGGGAAGTGCATTTTTTTACTCATGGATACTCAAACATGTTGTTGGAGTGAAAATCATTGCTGTGTTTTACCATTATTACAGTTATGCGAGTGGAGGAAGGGCTTGTGTGCGTGCCTGGAACATTTAAAAAAAAATTCTATATAAAGTGGTGATGGCGATACTGTTCAGGACATTAGTGTAATATAAACCTAATAGGCACACTCCCGTAAGACAACCAGGGACATTTCTAAATAGACCCTCGCCTAATTGAAAAAAAGGTCATCGATTGATGTACGAGATGGCACAAGGCAGTGTTGAGTTGCGCTGTGCGTGTGTGACTTAGTGGTTTGTTCCCGTCCCAGGCCATCCAGGACCAGATGCGGGCGCACGGGCAGGAACCCGTCTCATTTCAAGACGTAAAGGTGATGCCCTTTTGTTGCTGTGTAAATGACATGTGTCCATAAAATTATCTCCCACGATACGAAATTGCGCGGCACGAGTGCTGAGCTCTTAATGTTAACAAGTTGACGCTGTGTTTACCTGTTCAACATGTGTATCCCCCTGTTCCGGGGTTTTCTCAGCATTGCGCATTCAACATCACGTATGTTTCTTTGTGTTAATAATTAAGTCATATTGAGGAAATTCTTATCTTTTCCAGCAGACTTGTGTATTTTTGGGCCAATTCCATTTTAAGGCGTGTTTCTGTTGTGTGTATGGAGATAACGGGTACCCAGAGAAAACCACCACTCATGAGAGGATCACGCATAAAGATCCAGAGATGGGTTTTCAATCCCTTTACTGACTCTTGGACAACTCACTTCAATTGCTTTGGAAGTTTGAAGAAATCAAATTTGATCCAACAACCCTTGCCTCCAAAGAGCCGGATTATAAGCATTGGCCACCATGTGTGGAACAGTCTATATTTCAAGTAATATTGCAGCATTTAAAACACTCTTACAATCCAGGTCACTTGTGTGCAATTCCTGGCTATGCTGCACAACATAAGTGACAAACAACATCAGAACCTCGCCTCCACCTGGCTGGGCTCAGCGCAGTCTAAAATAAGTTATTGATGGTGAGACCAACATCAGTACTTGGGAGACAAAAGCATCTAGGTTTGTGTGATGCTGGCAGCTGGTAGATCAAGGATGAGTATAACGACGACGATGATATGTTGCATTGCAGGATGAAGTGTTCGACATGGTGAAGCCGCAGGACCCCCTCCATATAACCTTGGCTGACCTCATCTCCAGCAACCAGGGCGACACGGTGGTGAGCATCCTCATCGACCTCAACGGCTTCTGGACTTACGAGAACCGGGAGGTGCTGGTGACCGATGGCAACGAGCCTGCCACCACCGACCTGGACGATCCGTGACCTGCACTCGTTACTGGACTCATTCACCAGACGCCCCCCCCCATCCCCCATACCCTCCTCCCCCCACGTTCACCAGAGCCTTCCATCTCTATACTCCCCCCCCCATCCCCCCTGCTTCCCTTCCTTCCGACAGTTATGCTGAGATGCGGTAACACGATGTACCCTTGCTTTGATCAAATTGATCGTAGAAACATTTGATCATACTATGTTATATCATGTTCACGTCTGAAGAGTGCCTAATATGTTGCGTTTTAATGGTGGGAACTACTAGTGCAAGTGACAAAATAAGCCACAACGCAAATTAATTGTCTCTTGTAGAAGCGTCCCTCGTCTGTGTTTTCCAGTTTGTCAAACATGTGTTTAAAGCTTTGATAGAGAGAATACTCTACACTTGGTCAAGCGCATCATTAATTCACTGGCGCGATGTTACTATGACACACAATGTTTTTAAATTGATGTCACTTGAATACGTTGGCGGCGTATTTGACTGAGTTTCTAAGATATGTTTTTTTTTCTCATTAACGAAGCTTCAAACTGGTGTTGGACAGGCCAAGATACATCAGAGCTACTTGTGTACTAGATAAAAGCTATTTTATTTGGAGTGGCATCCTTATTTAATGAGTGAACTGTGTTGCTTGTTCTCGGATGTCTTTTTAGGTTGTATCACGTGTTGATTGGCTTTGTCTGATATTTTGCTCCACGAGCTAAGAGCTCCTTCAGGAACTCAACTGAATTCAGTTCCTGAAGAAGCTCTCCACGGAACACAGGTTTCCCCAAAAAGACATCGGTGAGCTATACAGCACCACCGTGAAAACATATGTATTGTAGTGCTTGAGCGTCATGCGGCAAATTGATGGTTTATTTACAGGAGAAAAATTATTGGGAAATGTGTTTGGATTACCCATAGCAGAAATCTATTCACTTATTTCACACGTTAATATTAATGCTAAACAATTTCTATCGCGTACAAAATTTGTGCAAGCTCAGAGAAGCGGAGCCAAGGCTCATGATTCCTCATACACTAGCCTGCACAGGTGACAGCCATGCAAGGTGAGCCATCATCTGTCGCTTGGATACTGCGTATGTACAGCGGGAGATATTTCCAAATAACTGTTGTGGCTGTGCGAGTGCTGGGGACGACGAGCAGGTTAAAGCAATTAACTGAGCTATATAGCTCTTTTTCAGAAGCGACTTGGCCACACATGATACCTCAACGGGGAGTGGCTTATCACGTGGACATTTATTGCAGCCAAATAATCTAAACGCATGTTAATAAATTTGGAGGACCCATAGAAAAATCCACGCAGCTACGAAGATAACATGCAAACTACAAATCTACAGGCATCAGGGTCTGGATTGAACCCACAACCTGCATACCAGGCGAGGTAGTTAACATCCCGCCACGTGTTCTGTGGTCATTGGAGCAAGGAGAGTTGAGAGAAATGGTAGGGAGACCATGAAAGAGTGCTCAGTTGCACAGGATGACAATCCTGGACTGAATCGTATGATTTGATGCAGAGTCTGTGCAAAGATTTAGGACAGCCATGATATCCACAAGGCTGTGCCTGCTCAAAGGATGACACCTGACAGTTTGTTTTGAAGTCTGAGTCGTTCAGGTGCTTTTTTCCCCGATATACAAAGTTGGGATGGCATTGCAGTAATCCTACAGAGAGGCAACGATTCTCCAAGCTCGGTGTTTGCTGTAGGCGTAGACAACATTGAGTGGATGTACCATAGGGCCTCAAGATGATGGTCGCATGCCTTTATTGTATGAACTTGGTTCATACTATAGGAAACGCCAAGGATGTTTAGGTGATATGAGAGGCTAATGATGGGTGACGCCAGCAACAAGTCGACTTTAAGGTGGCGACACTGTCATGAGCCGCTGCCTGGTGTTTAAAAGTTCTGTGGGTTTTTTCAGCATTTAATAGCAGGTTCCTCCAGAACCACTGATGTAAGTTTGAGGTGCAGTCAACAAGGTTAAGTGGACCCTGAGCAGAGGTGAATGTGTTTGTGGTATAATTGTCATCGGCATATATTGTGATTGCACCGCGGCGCGATGAGCCGGCCAATTGGGGAGATGTGAAAGGAAAACGTAAAGAGTCGAGGGGAGATCGCTGAGGAACTTGGCAGTGGATGCAGTGACTGTGGATGGGGAATTGGCAACCTTCACATGGGGACCTTCCATCGGGCAGGTGGGATGTGAGCCACTGTCACGCTCTCGCAAAGAGCAATTTCAGATTCGCATGCCAATACTCCGCCGATAAAGGGACATTTCACTTAATGATCTACCTTGACACCTCTGCTTTGACATCTAAGTCGATTTTCCATCTCATTGTGTTTTATTACTGTTAATTTTAGTTTACATAAACCATGTTAAATATTGTAATTATGATTACTGTATAATGGGTGATTTTGTTTCTTTCTCAGTGCTGCTGACTTTGCCTATTAATAATGTGCAGCCCTTTATGCCACTGTTGGATGAAGGTCTGAACACTGTCATCATGGGGGTTGTTTGACCTGACTTCACCTTAGTTGGTGGAGGCAGGGCCCAGGACCTGTTCATATATCACCGAAGCAAATTGTGACTAGGATTGTAAATCAGGTCCCTGGGTTCATAGTGCTGTGTTACAAACACTCAATCACTTCCCTTGTGGATTCACATATGTATATATTGTAATAATGTTGCTAATTTAACTGTTCTATGGCTTTGAGTTTCATATTGTATAGTAAATACTCTTATATAAGAATTTTGAAACAAAACTACAGTTTGTCTCTTTGTGTTTCCTTTTATTATTCAGCAATACACATAAGTAGTTAATCAACATCCAATAAGTCATCGTGGTCATTTTGGTCAATGCCTCGACACTTTGCCATCACTTCTGTCACGTCTCACAGCTGTTTTACAATCGACCTGCAACCTTACAAGGCTTACACAACCTCATCGTCACCATCTGTCAGTGGAGTGAGATGGCACAAATAAAACAAAAACATGTAATAGTAAACTATGTTCCACAACATTTTTTCTGCCTACGTAGAATGGGTGTCAAGATGTAGAAAGCGTCTTGACTTTATTTAAACTTAATGTAATTGGTTTACTTTCCAACATGTCTGTGGTCACATGGGCACCAACCCACAACGAATGAGTAGCAGCAAACAATTTGGAGAGCTCTACAGCACAACGACAAATGAGCACAATTAGGCAACCTGAATAATCTTTGGATTATAGAGAGTTAACTGTAATATCTATTAAATGCAGTTTTTCATTATTATGTAACGTTGTGGTGTAAAGGCTGGTCAATTACTCTCAAGTCAAGCTTCCCCAGTTAAATTTCTTGTCATGTCAGTTAAAACATCGGATGGACAGCCTTGGCACATTTTTTTGTTTCCACCCATGTCACGTGACTTGAATTTGATTGGCAACTTGCTTGTGGTGGGATTAAGTGAGGGTATGTCCTCGCATCTTATGAACTTCCCTGACCAACCAGGCGAGTTGAGGGAAAACGCTGAGTCTCCTTAACAGCAGTGCACATTCACTGGCTTGTGTGAAGGAACCGCTCTAAGGAAATCGGCGCACCGGAGTATTCCATTCACGAGGGAACGTCGAATCGTCTTGCTTATATGAACCCTTGCCGTGAAGAGTGGGGAACTCTCTCGGTAAAGCTGCAGGCCCTCCGAAGATTAGATTGCAAGTTCGCACCCAAAGCGGAGTTGATAACAATTATCATCGTCGCTCCTCGGTCCATTAATTATCCACCACCCGTTGAGGCTGCATCACTTGGTGAGAAGTCAGCGGTTTGTTGTGCTGTGGATAAACTGGTCCCCGCCGTCACAATGTGTATTCTTCACCAGTGGCTCAATACTTGTTAGAGCGTGGAGACATTTCACATTTCCCTTGGGTTACCCTCTGCAGAGGAAGACCACTGTGAGCTTGCTGTGACGGCTCCATGAGGGCCGCTACAGCCTTGGGAAGTTTTACTTTGGGGTGGACGATTTTCTCGGAGGGCCCGGAGGAGGCGGTGACATCGCCGGGCTTCTCGCACCTGCAACGATAAACGCAGACAGCGCGACGAGCAGCCGGGCAGATTTAATTTGTTAAAACAACAATACTGCTGCTATTTTTGGACAAAAAGCAAGGTCAGTGGTAACAGAAAACATCCATGTCTTGTTTCAATATTTGTGTTTTTTAACAGTTCTAAATATTTCATCATACTTATGGGAACTTTACGTGAAGGAAGATGGGTAGATTTAATGCAAAGGGTTTTACTAAACCATATAAAATATCGATTTATTTCGTAGAGTGTAGAGAATTATAACCGACGTCAAGGAGGTAGTTTATTTTAGCATCTGGGCCAAAATCCACTCAACCAATTAATATCCTTTTATGTACTATGGGAAATTGTTGCATATTGTTTGCATATGCCAGGCTATATGTTTTATCACCATATATTCCCACACAAATTATACAATTGTTGCACAAACAGGGCCCGGATACTATACAATTCATAATGCGCATTAATGAGTATATCGTATGCAAAGTCATACGTGAAACTTAAAATGACCAAATCGCCCTGAATGCACCTGATATTGTCATATACCGCAGGGCTATTCAGGACGAAGCCTGATAAGTAGATGTGGCCCTGGCTAGGAATGCCAGTGTTGTAGACTGGGGCTGCGGAGTGGCCAGCAGATGGAAGTCCGGCAATGTTTTGTATCGAACTGTGCGGAACTTTGAGTGGCATCTCGTATGCGTGGGTTTTCTTCAGGCACTCTAGTTTCAAACCAACATGCCAAACACTCATTTGTGATGGGCCAAATACTCATTTGTGATGGGCCAAATACTCATTTGTGATGGGCCAAACACTCATTTGTGATGGGCCAAACATCATAATGAAGGACCTTCACGAAAAATAACCTTGAGACTTAGCGGTGGCTTTCCTAGGTAAACCAAAGTGAATTCACGATGACACAAATGTGTACCTTCAGTTTGGTTTGCCCGGCCCTGAATGCGAGGCACGTGGCGTGGGTCGTACGGTGGAGCTGGGCCGTACAGCGGACCTGGGCCGTACAGCGGAGCTGGGCCGTACAGCGGAGCTGGGCTCCGTGCTGGAGGAAACCCTCTAGGAGGCTGCGCAAGGCCCCTGTGTGGAGGTGGAAGAGGAGCAGCAGGAGGTGGGCTGGGCAGCAGCAGCGTGCGGGGGTCCATCAGCGGGGAGAGGTTGCACCTCGGGCCCATGTCGCCCCCTGGAGGCGGGAGCGGTCCCCACGGTGCAGCGGGGCACCAGCGCGGAGCTCCGAGGAGCGGGGAGAGAGGGCCTCCTCGGCGAGGTCGGAAAGGCGAGGGCTCTGTGAAGGAGCCTCCGAGGGTGGGCGGTGGCGAGAGTGGAGCTCCGCAGTGGGAGGAGGGCCGTCGTGGTGGCGCCACAGCCAGGCGCCCGTCTGCTCTCGCAATGGAGAAGGCCGATGAGAGACTCCGAATGCATGTGGATTTAGACCAGGGACATTTGTGTGTCGCGCACGCACAGCTTTACGTAACCAAATCACCCTCCGAATGCACCCGCTGTCATCATTTACTGCCAACTAGGCAATTAATACTTGATAGGAGACTCGCTGGATATAGAAGGTTAAGGAGGCAACTGCAGATTAGTGCTCACCATTATCGACGTCCAGACTGGAGCTGGATGCCAGGGAGCTGTTGGACCCGTGGTGCTGGGGTCCTCTGTGTTGAGGGGGGCCAGGAGATGGAAGGCTCCTCCTCCTGTCCGGCACCAATCCTGGAGGGCAGCGTGTGGTTCGCACAAATCCATGGACTTGAAGGAGAGCAGTGGGATAATTCTAGAGCTGAGCACTTAGGAAATACATAGGATATACGAAGCCTCTGTGCTACATTTAGACAGGGTTTCATTTTAACTGGGTCTGTCTGTGTCGGTGGCCCAGACAAAGCTTCGGTTCCTGAAGAGAACCTCCACGCACGTGGAGCAAAACGTCGGACATTGTGCCGAAGAGTAAGCGGCAGGACTCTTAACACTTCGGAGAGCTGTTATTGAGCGCTCAATTCGAATATGCACAACCATCATCGCACCCGACTGCAAAACTCTTGGCGGGACCTTCTTGAAAAAGAGCCGTCAGATTCAGTGAGGCTTTCCTGGGTAAACAAGCAGAATAAAACAAATCGTAAAGGGTATTAATCATTTTTAGGAGTGGGAGTTTTTTTGTGGTATAGAAGCACGCGTGCCACGCTGCATGGGGAATGGGCCGCTGTCGTTGAGCGCGACCCTTTTACCGTTTGTAGGTTCAGGGGGGAAGGCGCCCAGCGGCGAGCCGGTGGGAGGGCGACTTGGTGTGGGGTGCACGAGTTGGGGGGCGCTGCCCTTCACCTCGAACAACCTGCGGCAGGTCACGCGGGGCGAATCTGGACGTGAGCCAGAGTCCACACTGTACTGTAGATATGTTGAACTTCTTTGGCACCGTACATAGCCATCCGGGTTAAACGGAGGTGCGGGTGAAGGACAACAAACTTGTTCACCAGAATTGGGGAATTTAAAACCGGCCCTCGATTTAATTTCACAGGAGACCAACCACTCTGCAGTAGTCCACAAACTATTATTATTTTAACACGTAGGCTTTCACGACCAATATCGATAATCGAGGTTTTTTGGGCTAGATCGCATAAATTAACTCACCACCACCCGACACAGCCAATGTGTAATGTTTGTCACGTAAGCAGAACGTGCCAATTATCTTTAATACTTCAGCACACCAGTGTGTTGAAGATTAAACCCACAACATTTACAATTTGAGTACGACGTTTCGCTGGTGATTACAACAGCCAGCATAATGAGGCGATTTACCAGAATTTGATTGTCCGTCACGGCAACCATTTTATCCCCGCGAGCCTGGCAGTCGACAGGGATCATTGTGACCTGGTAACAACGCTGCGCTTCGAACTTCATCACCGCACTCAGTCACTTCTGACTCTACAGGAGCATCTTGTCGTGAGAGATGTGACTTAGATATGTATTCTTGTGTGACCCAACCAAAGGTTTTTGAAAACCCTGCTAATGACTACCGTGGTGCATTAATCTGGAAAGTGGCATCATACACAGAGGGGGTAGCAGCGATGAAAGGGAATAGCCATCATTTCAATATAATGACAATAACGTTGTCACTAACGGAGTGTCATCTCGGGCCAGCCAATCTTGTGTTTGCTTCTGACTTGAAAATTAGTTAAAAACATTTATAACGCGTTTGGCTTTAAACATCTTCTCGGTTATCATCAGCATCAGGCCCATGTACTTGCTCGTGTAGCCAAGTGTTCCAGAGCAGAACATGAGCAGTGGAGCTCCGTCCACTGGAGTGCACAAAACACAGCCGCCGCACTGACCACACTCGTCGCATCGCCATCGGGCACTACGCACTGGAACTTTGGAGACACTGGGAATTGGACTGGAAGACAAATCACCTCTGGAGCACGCTCATTTCTTTCCTGACCTCCACGAGCTCCCTCTCGGCCTTGCGAGCAGCAAACTACGGGGTACACACACACATTGCCGAATGAGTTTTCTGTACCTATATAGCAATGTAAAATGAATACGTGCATTTGAAACTTTCATAATTGTCTGCATTACTGTCCAGAGATAGATAGTCTTTAACAAAACAACTGGAATACAGGTGCACACATAATAATGATGACAATTCCTATAGGGTACTGAACAAGCAACGAAAACATTAACCACAAGTCTATTGCAGTCACTTGTGGCAACTGACAAGGCGGGTCATTTTGAGTAATGGCTGCGACTCAGTGGCTCTGACGTGCAGTGTCAGAGCCACTGATCCAGGCAGCACGTGGGCCGGTTGTTAGGAATTTAATGCAATGCCGAGGTAAACAACTCGGAAGTTCAGAATAGTACTTGGCAGGAATGTGTTGTATCTGTAATCAGGAGAAAGAGGCTGCGATGAGTGGGATATGCATGCATGCCCGCATGGTGAGTGACGGCGGCTTATGACGGCAATGGAGCGGACACCCCTAGGCGTAACCAAGTGGAAACCCTAAAAGCCAGATGGAGGGTTACTATCACGGCAGACATTGAAGGTCAGGTGTGGAGCTCACACCATCCATAAGAGCTATCCGAAGGAAGCAATGATGAAGTGTCAGTATATCAATTGACTTGACATGGCAATGGTTCCCATGTGTTCATCGCAAATAGAGAGAGCTTATCAATGAACTGTCACTTGCTTAAAGGAAACCAATCTGTATTTGGTTAAACAGATTATGTGATGCTGCCGCATTGGTAGCGGCACACCAGCACAAATAACACAAAAGTCAACATACTTGTCAAAAACACTGTGGCCTGAAGTGGAAAATTATAAACGAAGCAAACGTTTCAGGCAATTGCCCTTCTTCATAGCACAAACCTGAAAAAAATGTGTTTTTTACTTTATGTATTATATGCATTGTATCGTATATATTGTTTCCTTTAAGGCTACAGTGTTACCGACGAATGCACTGAGTTTTTTTTATTAGAAAATGTTGAGAAATGTTAATATGGCCGAGTTGCATTACTTTGTTGCGTACATGTCTCAGGTGCAGCTGTTTTCTTACCCACTGCTCGTGAATGTCCTTCTCTTGCGTAGAAATCTGTTGGGCGGCAATGAGAGCCCAATAATGAACGTGACCTAAACGTGCGCACTCATCACAGCAGTGCCCACTGCGCTACAGGAACATTGTCGTACTTCCAGAAGAGGATGTTAAGGCTGCTCACCTATAAATGAAATATTTATCAGAGAACATTATTTGTAATTAACAGGTTTTTATAATAAAATTAACCAGGTGAGACACCTTTTGAGATCCATGATTAGTTTTACAGTGACGGCATCGGCAATTCAAGTTACTTTGGGGCATATTCATGATTTTTCCATTTATTTTACTTTGTGGATGATTAAAAAATTTAAGATTTGAGCGAAAATGTCACTTCCTAATGGTGTACTCTGACGAATGATGATTTGTGATAGATATTGATGTTATGGATAAATGGTGTGCTTTGGTAATAATTATCTCCAAAAATTACCACACAACTATGGGTGTGGAATTGGTGATTGTGTGAACTGCCCCAGTGGACTGCTTCGCCTACTTCAGCCATGCCAAATATACACACGCATCACTCGCCAAAGGATGACGAGTGCCATTTAACGACACAAGGCGACTCATTCCAAGAGGCAAAATAATCAAACAAATTGAAATCGCAAAATAACTCGAGGACATGAACTCCAGCATCTCACAAAAATTGCCCATTCAGAGCATACTACCATGACAAAATGTGACCAGACAAATTTGGCTGCAGTGGCTACAGTTCCTGCTAAGGGACATTCTTGTCAGCCTGTAACTTCCCACTGCTGGGTAAAGGCACCGTCCCAGAAATAATACTCGTCGACTTACACAGAGACCCCTAGACTCACACAGAGACCTGTAGACTCACACAGAGACCCATAGACTCACACAGAGACCTGTAGACTCACACAGAGACCCATAGTCTCACACAGAGACCCGTAGACTCACACAGAGACCTGTAGACTCACAGAGAGACCCCTAGACTCACACAGAGACCCGTAGACTCACACAGAGACCCGTAGTCTCACACAAAGACCCATAGTCTCACACAGAGACCCCTAGACTCACACAGAGACCCGTAGACTCACACAGAGACCCGTAGACTCACACAGAGACCCCTAGACTCACACAGAGACCCCTAGACTAATACAGAGACCCGTAAACTTCACAAAACAAACGCTGACCTCATTACCACACCTCTGAGTAGACCGGTTGGCTATGTACGGTGTGAAAGAATTCCAACATCCATACAAGAGACAGATTCATAGATGTTCCATCAATAGCTGGAGGGTGAAGCATTCCAAGACGTGGATTTTAAAACTTCCCATGTGAAACGTTTTAAATAGGGCCCTTGAGCTTATGGGCACAACCCTAAACCACATCTACACAAACTATAGCAGCGGATGTAGATACCTGACGCACAAAGAAACATGTTAAACTCTCCGGCAATGCCCGGGGACAGTAGTAACCCAGAACAGACCCAGGAAAATATGACGACTCAACGTCCCATTCATTAACACAAAGGAGGCGTCATCGCAGCGATACGCTCTGCGACTCCTGATGCAATTAACCGGCGCAACCACCTCAACGTAAAATTACAGTCCTTGCCCTACGCCTACATCAGCCATATGCAGAAGAAAACCCCCTACAATAATATATACATAAAACCATTCAATGTATTTTCTCTGGCAGGGCTGGCGATCATACCCCACCCCCTTCCCCCCTGGATCCACGGCTGGTCAGTCCCCGTTCTAAGGACAGCGGCGATGATGTTGGAGTTGTTTGGGAAGTGCCGCTGTGTGCAGGCTGCTGGGTGTCGACGCGCCGCACGCGGTCGCTCACTTGGTCCCTGAAGGAGTTTTCCGTCTGCCTGAGCTCCCTTTTGAGGTCACTCACGCGCTGCCTGGTGGATGGTAACACGCATACACACGGTTCATGGCAATACGCACACATGGCAACACGCACACACATGGCAACACACGCACACATGGCAACACGCACACATGGCAACACGCACACGCACAGTTCATGGCAACACGCACGGTTCATGGCAACACGCACACATGGCAACACGCACACGCACGGTTCATGGCAACACGCACACACATGGCAACACGCACACGCACGGTTCATGGCAACTCCACGGTAACAAGATCCAGCTGGCGAATCCAGCATGCGGAGAAAAACGTTGGCCATCATGTCGAGCGGCGCGTGGCCCAACCATGACGCCCATACACAACGGCCTGCTTTTAATGATGACATCGCAGGATCTTCAACGCCCACTTGTGTGTAGTATCATTATTATTACTGTTGTAGAGGAGTATTGTGAGTAACCAATGAGGGGGCGAGCGGAAGGAGGTGCGAACGGGTTGAGAGTCACGCGGGACCAATGATGACGTAAGGCAAGGAACTTTCGGGAAAGTGGGCGGGGCCGAGCTGGGGGGAGGAGCCGCCCAAGGGATTCTTCAGAGGGACCCCGTGACGGGGGCGTGGTCGTCGTCGGGGGCCAGGGTAAGGAGCGGCTGGGGTGGGTCTCTCTCTGCTCGTCGCGGGATGGTGTTGGCTGATCCCCCGCTCCGGGCAGACGAGCGAGAGAGCCAAGGGGATAGCCGGGGTAGGGTCCAAATTAGTTAGTGTCCGTGTGAAGGACGGAGAGAGAGTGCACCTACACTGGTGTGAGTGTAGGATGCCGAGTGAGAAAGTGTTTTAATAAACGGCAGCCGCTATAGTATTCCTCGTCTCCGCGTGGTTGTACTGCACAACGCTATTGTGGTGCCACAGCAACGGAGCAACTCCGCCGGCGCTGCTATCCTCCCGCAACCCCCCACACGAATGCACGCACACCCCCTCTAAACACACACACACACATCCACGTAGGGCCTCGTGGGGGGGGGGGGGTCACCTGGTACCCTGGGTTTTTACATGAGGGCCCCCTCGTGGGGATGTTCCACGGTTTCCCAGTGCCAGGAGATTTGCCGACTCCCCCCCCAGGCCGAATTACATCGCGGTCCCCGTAAATTGGCTTAGAATTGTATGGGCATGATGAAGCTCCCCGGGTAAACCGCAATGAGAACACACCGAACACAGGGGAATGGGGCCGTGGGGAGAGCAAAACACCTAGCGAGCTAGCTAAAACAACAAAGCATCAACAGCGAGCAACGGGGGGAGGAGGAGCACGAGGAGTGTAACGAGCACGTCAACAACGAGTGGTGAAGCCAGTGAGAGCCACCTGCCAGGTAGGGGGGCGGGGCATCTGCCCGTCCCGCTATGCATCCCCGCCCGGATTGTTAAGAACCACCACCGGCCGTGGCACGCCAGGTGGGAGCGGGGCATCGGTTGAAAAATCTAAAGGTAGGGACCCGAATGGCCGTGCAGGAAAGACAACCCGAGACGGGGGTTTTTGAACAGGGAGGTGAAAAGGGAGGTGGAAAGGGAAACGGCTAGTCAGTTCTCCTCCAGACAGCCAGCGACCCAGTCGGACTCCCAGCCGCTCGAGCGCCCGAGCGCAGCTTCAACTCGACGCAGGCAGAGACTTCCCGGACCCACGTCCCTCCGACTCCCATCGCGTCTGTGGGATACTGTGAGTACGTCCCAGGGGTGAGGAATAGAGCGAGGGCCCCGCGACTCCGCGAGGGTGTGGATAGAGATAGGTGGGACGCTGCTCGCTAGACGGTTTTGCTCCGGGCCACGCAGGGCTTTCCATCTGGTATTACATTAATAAACTTTAGCGCAGAGTGACGACGCCGCGTGATTTCTGTGTGTCTGGAGAGAGCGTAGGGGTGGTGTGAGTACGTGCATACGTGTGAAGCGCGGGTAATCAGTCCGAAAACGATCGCTGACGTTCGCGTGCATGCGATCGCGTGCGTATTTACCTAGCGCGCTTTACGCAGTGGGATTACGTAGCAACGAGCGCCTTAAGGGGGTCAGCGTGGTGTGTAATTCTAGCGTGTGCGCATCGGTGGCCGCGTGCTTGAGCTTGCGATTGTGTTTGCACAAGGGATTCGCGCGCGAATATCCTCATCAATACGATCACCTGTGCCCGCGTGTTTGCGCTCGCCCGTACGTGTGACGATCGGCGTGTATTCAATCGTAAACGATTGCTTGTGCTCGCCGCGCGTGTCTGCACGGCAGATTAACGCGCGAATATTATCATCTACACGATCGTCATTGTGCCCGGTGCGTGCGCTTGCGTGCGAGCGAGCGAGGCTGCGCTGCACAGCGACTCCTTTGGCTGCGCCCGCATCCACGCGGCCTGCCGCGCTATTTTTATCACGAGCAGTCGGGAGCCACACGAGCAGGCACGCGCGTGCACGCAGCCACCGCAGCGTGAGTGGTGGTTTATTCATTAAATTTGTTAGCGTGAGGCGTGGTGAGCAGCGTGCACCCGCACGGGTACGCGCGTGCAAGTAGCCACCTCGGGATTAGTGGGGGTTTACGTGGGGAGTGTGTGGGATAACCCGAGGCGGCGGGGAGCCAGTCACTAGCCATGTCCCACAGAGAGGACGGGGGTGCAGGGGGGCCGATCACTCGATCGGCGGCAGCCCGGCGGAGAGGAGGTGGAAGGGGGAGAGGAGGAGGAGGGGAGCATCAGCCCCCACGCTATCATGGTTATTAAACCAACAGCGTTAATCAGGGCGACAAGCGGCGAGCGCGCTACCGCTCGGCCACGTCACCGCCCAACTATGAGGACACCCAAACCTCGCACTGACAACATAGTTATTGCACTGTCTTCTACATGCAATCGGTTGCACTGCAGGAGGGTATCTCACACATGGCTCCTGCCATCCCTGCCTGACCCATTAACCCCCCCCCCACCCTCTAAGTTGTACGTTTACAGTCACACAGCCTTGTCACTACACCTGATGCAAATCCACGACTACATTATCCCACAAACTCAGCTGATAGGTGTGGCACTTCAGGCTGCCGCTTGCAGCAGGGAATCATAGGCATTGACTGAAAACCGAGCCAAGGCAGGCGTGGGGTTGAATGCATGTAGACCACTGCTTTGGAGCTTCAGGGTTAGTGGATCACACAGAGAGGAGTGAAACTCTCATAACCGCTGGACAGAAAGTTGTCCAACAACTGGGTTCATGAACCCGTCTGTGCGGGTATTTTAAGAATTATCCCTGTGCATGTGTGGCCTTTCTCCAAGGCGCTCAACTTTTCAATCAGATGCAAAACACGCCTTTAAAAAAATTACTGGCAAACTTTTAAATGCAAGATCCTCCTGAAAAGAAGCATTGAGACTCAGTGTGGCTTTCCTTAATGAATTAATTACATATTTATTTATCTTCAACCAGAGGGTTAAATGAAGACAAATCTCTAATAGTTGTTAGTTCCTTTAGCCCAGGGGTGGCCAACCTTTAACAGACCAAGAGCCAAAAAGCACCCATGAGTTTTGGAAGTGTTTCTATAATAATATACCATTCAACTTTAATTAATTGTTATTTTTGCGACTGTGATAGTATGTTCTACATTATGCCTCTTCGATAGAGGCGCATGTGGTGTATTAAAGAGCCGCATGAGGCTCGGGGGACGCCAGTTGGCCACCGCTGCTTTAGCCGTACTTGTATCGTGTGGCTTCCTCCATCGCTTGCAGTGCTTTCTGTTCAGCCTCTGAACACGCAGAAGCCTTCGTCTGCCCAGAGTTCTCCTTTTCCGACAACTCCCTGTAAAGCGTGAGAAACACAGTGACTGTTGATCGGAGCTGGAGGGATATTGTACACGTCTATGTATCAACAGCTTCATTGGTCTGTCGGTTCACCAGTCTGTAACAGTGTTTACTTGAGTCATTTCCATTGCACAAGGTCAGTGTGTAACTCGTTTTGATCACAATAAATTGGGGGCCTGTGGTAATGAAGATGAGCTGCGGATGGCCTTTAACATATGTAAACAAAACCATGACCCAGGTGGAGAGCTCTCAGGAAGGGTTGGACCCATGGGGAATGGCCAATGATGGAAGGGGCAGGCCAATGGAACTACACACGGCCTATCCGATCTGTCTGCTAGATGAGTCATCGGTCACCACGTTGACTTGAGTAGTTTACATTGCGGTATCTCTGGTATTCAACTTCAAACTGTGTACGACCTATGCCTCTTGATCTAGATATAACAATGAGTGGTGTGCCACTTTTTAGACTTGAAAGTACTGTTGCATGCCACCTACGCTGTGCTAGAAGGCAGCCCCTGCAGCACACGAATTGGTGAGTGGCAAGCGTCAGGCGAATGTCTGCTGTGTATAATGCGCGGGCGGGTGAGCCATCGAGTGGGCAAGTGGGTGGGTGAGTAGATGGGTGAGCGGGCGAAAGAACGGGCGGGTGAGCAGGCGAGCGAACCTCTTGAGCGTGGCGTCCGTGCCGCGGTGCATGTCGGTGAGCAGCTGGAGGCGCACGCGCAGCGCCTCCAGCCCTCTCCGGCCCTGCTCCTCGTCCTGCCACACCGCCGCGCACTCCCTGCCCAAGCTGCTCGCCCGCTCTGCACGCACAGCACGCACAGCAACACTGCTGGTGATCAGCCACTTCGTCGCGCTATCATTTGTGGCCAGGCCACTTCTGAGAAAGAAGCTCATAGCTCAGTGGACTTTACCTGGTAAGATGAAAAAAATTGTTGAGTTTTATTTGTAAAAAAATTTGTAAGTGATTTGCTTACCTTTTCTAGACTTTACTCTCCTATCGTTTTGTACTGTTTGTTTTTGTACTGTTTGTTTTTGTAACGTTTGTTTTTGTCATGTTTGTTTTTATACTGTTTGTTTTTGTACTGTTTGTTTTTGTACTGTTTGTTTTTGTAACGTTTGTTTTTGTAATGTTTGTTTTTGTAATGTTTGTTTTTGTAATGTTCTGAGCCACCCCTACTGAACATCTGCGAAATAAGAGCTATCCACCCTTGCCCCTCCGGTCCATGTTCTGGGGGTACGTGCGGTGGCGGCGGTGGCACCTCGGAGCTCCTGGGTGGCTCTCTCCTCGCTCAGCAGCTGCTCCCCGAGTCTCCGAGTCTCGCCCTCCACACGCTCAATCGTGGCCTTCATCTGCACGAGAATGAAACACCTCGCCCGCTCAGCTGCAGCTCCTGACGCCTGCTGCTGCCTGTTCACACGGTAGTGCTCGCTCAGCCACTCCCAACTGGGTGTAGGTGGACCGCGATGGGATTTCAGGCGCTGAGCTCCAGCACTGAGCTCTGCACCAAACTCTCTGAGTTTGCAGATGAATGAGGTGGCAGGGGACTGCCTTTTACTGGACATCTGTGAAAAGAGCTTTATAGCTCATCGGATTCCTCCAGGACCTTTTTTTAATTGAAGGTTTGTTGAATACAGACCCAAAAGTGTCAGAATAGCAAACAACTACGTGACTGACTGCAACGAATAAACTACGTGACTGACTGTCACAAAATTAACTAAGTCTGAGTGAAGATGCAGACTGAGGTGATGTATGAACTTTACTGGAAACTGATGCGCACTGAGGAAGACCAAATATTGTAAGCGCCTATAATATATGTATAAAGCATGACTCAGTTCACGCAAGTTGCAAGTGCATTTTATTGAGCCAGGTGAGAACTCAAGAGACCAAGATGAGTCTCATTAACACGAGTGAGCTGAGAGTCACGAAGTCACGAATTGAATGACCTGACAATAATGGGGGATGGCAACCGGAACCCATTGCAGCTTGTTAAGCGAATGCCGACATGAAATCCACAAACTAAGATCGGACTAAGACTCCATAGGTTGTCGTTGACTAGACTCATACGATGACATGCTGGCTAAATTGGCACCGCCGTGGACACAGTTACCAGCACGGCATTGGTAGCATGGTGCTCGCTTGACCCCCACACCGGATACGAGCCTCCCCGGCTCTCGGCACCAAGCGCGCTCCCAGCCAGCAAATCCAGCTGTTGCAGACACTCGGACATCATCTGCACAGACCACCACCACCACCACCACGTGATCCATTTGATCTCCTCGAGTTATCACCAGCTGTGCCCCATCTCAGCAGACGCTATGTTTAAATGCTATGCACCCCCCAAATTCTATTGCATAAGAGGGGCAAAGGTGTAGTCCTGCAAGTGCTTGCTCACGCCACTGTTGGGGGAAGAGCCTCCACTCCAGGGTATTCGGCCTACTCTTCCACAGTGGCCAGGCGTCTTGGAGGAGCTAGGTTTACCCACACTTTACCCCACTACACTCGGCCTGCTGCTTATTCACCAACTGTGGTGCACAGCCAGGTATACCGCTCGGCGTATGGAGTCATCGGGGAGGGGGGTCGGATCTAAGAAACGTGCATTGTTGTTTCAACTGCCGCCCTGGGAAATCAAATTAAGCCGGCAACCTCCGAGTTGCAAGTTCGGCATGCTAACCATTACACCATGGCAGCAACATCCCAAGTTTATATTGGAATAGGTATCGCGATTATTAGTGGGGTTGTTTTGCTTTCACAAGTGTGGGATCAGGTGGTGCGGAGCAGCATTATTGGGGCGACACGGTGACTAGGAAATGTTAACTCCCTCGCCTGGTATACAAGAGGGCGTTGAGTTCGACCCCGGCCCTGACGCCTGCTGCTGCTGTATATCTGCAGTTTGCGTGTCTCTCTCCCAGTGGTCGCGTGGATTTTTCTCCAGGTCCTCTGGTTTTTCCCCTACGCATTTAGAATCAACTACACATTTCCACGTGATAAGCCACTTCATTGAGCTATCTTTTGTGGCGAGTCGCTTCTGAAAAAGAGCTACATAGCTCAGTGGCCTTTACCTGGTGAAATGCAAATAGTAAAGAAATGGTGATAATGATGGACCTGGTGCTCCGAGCACTTGTCGGCCAGGGTGGTCTCCAGGGCGGCCTGCGTGGACCTCGCCTCCTCCAGGTCACGCCACAGAGCGGCCACCTCCTCCCTGCACCGTCGCAGCTCCTCCACCTCCAGCTGTGAGAGAACCCACGGCACTCACCACGGCACTCACCACGGCACTCACCACGGCACTCACCACGGCACTCACCCTGGCACTCACCACGGCACTCACCACGGCACTCACCACGGCACTGACCACGGCACTCACCACGGCACTCACCACGGCACTGACCCCGGCACTCACCCCGGCACTCACCACGGCACTCACCCTGGCACTCACCACGGCACTCACCACGGCACTCACCCCAGCACTCACCACGGCACTCACCCCGGCACTCACCCCGGCACTCACCCCGGCACTCACCACGGCACTCACCCTGGCACTCACCACGGCACTCACCCCGGCACTCACCACGGCACTCACCCCGGCACTCACCACGGCACTCACCCCGGCACTCACCACGGCACTCACCGCACGTACCAGGGCCTCCTGTACACACGTAGATCGTATGTATGTACTGTATATATGTACTATGTATGTACTATTGTATATGTATGTACTGTATATATGTACTACCATATATGTATGTTGTGGGGAGCGGTAGTAAAGCGGTTAGTGCGCTGCACTACCATCCCGGATACCTGAGTTCGATTCCCGCTCACAGCCAAAACACCAGCCTTACCAGGCTGTTGGGGTAAGTGCTTTTAGCGAGCAGCACCTATGAAGGCCGGCACGGCACACGTGGGGGTAGGTGGTCAGCACCACGCCCGGCCGCCTTTGTCTCCCTAGTGGCAATGTTTACACATCGCACCAGGTACTAGGGGAAGCCCAGAACTGGTTCAGTTAATCATCACTGGTGTTGGCAGTGAGCGGAAATCAAACTCGGATCGCCGAGTTCGTAGCGCAGCACGTTAACTGCTGCACTACCGCTCCCCACACACACACGCACACACACGCGCACACACATAGACACACACACGCGCACACACGCATGCGCACACACATAGACACACGCACGCACTCCAAGTACCTGCTCGCTACGACCCACAAGGCTGTCTCTGCTCTGGGTCGAGGCCTCCAGGGTGGCAGCAAGGACGTCCACTCTGCTCAGGGCGGCAGCCAGGAGATGTTCTGCCTGCGTGGCCACGGCCACCACCACCAGCACACAACAACCGTCGTCACGCTCGCAACACAAACCCCTAGAAATCCACCCGTCTGCATCGCGAGCTTTCATGGACTATGCTAAACGATGTGGACTCGTATAGCGGCGTCTAGCGAGGTGCAGTCGGTCATCGGCAGAGGGAAAGGAAGGAGGTCTTCAGCCAGGAAAGGAACATAGGGCAGGGAGTGGGCATCACTGGTGGCTGGGGGAAGAAAGTCAGGGGATCGTGCTTGGATGGACGCCCCACATGCATAACGCTTGTTACAGGCTGCGGGGATACATTGCGGGAAAGTAAAAGATGGCTATGATACTGAGAATGCAATAAACACAGTGCTTTTTCCTGAACAGGTGACAATAATCACACCTCAATGAGCTTAGATCCCAGATCCTCATTCTCTTCCCCCTTCTCCTCCTCATCGTCCCTCGTGGGTGACACCTGCCAGTTGAGTAACGAGAGAAAGAGCCACAGTTTAAACGCCTCTCGCGGGGTCTAACCCAGCTTTGTCATACAATTACTCATTGCTATTGTATGAGCTGACAATACAAACCTAGGAACCGACTGACAATATTTTAATACATATATAAAACAATAATAATACCGTTATTGCAAATTAAGAATCTATTTCAAGAAGGGTGTGACATTGTGATATTTGTCCAATGCCGTGTGTGTTTGTTTACTGTGCATGTGGGAGTAAATCAGAGAATCTGTGAAAAAGAACTCCTGGACACCTGTGAAAAGAGCCTTACAGCTCATCGGATTCCTCCAGTATAAATAAAGATTCTGAATCTGGAGAAAGCTCACAAATGCATAGAAGCAGAACTCTTAATCCTCGACTTAATCCTCGACTTAATCCTCGACTGAGTGGAGCAGGGGGTGAGTGGAGCGATCCGTGGGACGGCGTTGACGATTGGTGACAGCACCTGGGACGCTCACGGGCGCCGTGGAGACTCACCTGGTCACGACTCACCTGGTCACGACTCACCTGGTCACGTCTCACCTGGTCACGGCTCACCTGGTCACCACTCACCTGGTCACCACTCACCTGGTCACGTCTCACCTGGTCACGACTCACCTGGTCACCACTCACCTGGTCACGACTCAGCTGGTCACAGCTCACCTGGTCATGGCTCACCTGGTCACCACTCACCTGGTCACCACTCACCTGGTCACGTCTCACCTTGCCACGGCTCACCTCGCCACGACTCACCTGGTCACGGCTCAGCTGGTCATGGCTCACCTGGTCACGTCTCACCTTGTCACGACTCACCTGGTCACGACTCACCTGGTCACCGCTCACCTGGTCACGACTCACCTGGTCACGTCTCACCTTGTCACGACTCACCTGGTTACGGCTCACCTGGTCACGAATCACCTGGTCACGGCTCATCTGGTCATGACTCACCTGGTCACGGCTCACCTGGTCATGACTCAGCTGGTCACGACTCACCTGGTCACGACTCACCTTGCCACGGCTCACCTTGCCACAGCTCTCCTGGTCACGGCTCACCTGGTCACGGCTCACCTGGTCACGGCTCACCTTGCCACGACTCACCTGGTCACGACTCACCTGGTCACGACTCACCTTGCCACGACTCACCTGGTCACGGCTCACCTGGTCACAGCTCACCTTGCCACGACTCACCTGGTCACGGTTCACCTGGTCACGACTCACCTTGCCACGACTCACCTGGTCACGACTCACCTGGTCACGACTCACCTGGTCACGGCGCCCCCGGTGCTCGCTGCGGACGTCACTCAGCTCCGCGGTCACTTCGCTCGCGGCGCTCCGCAGCTCAGCCATGACACGCCGCAGCTCAGCATTCGACTCCTGTTCGTTACGGGGCGAGGGCAGTGTTGCCAACTTGCAAGCGGCTTTTGTTTTTCTAATCAGCAACATCATTTTGTCAAAGCGAAGGGCGCAAAAAATTCTAGCCACTCCCTGCCGCGAAGGCCGTAGAGCAACGCAGGTCACAGCTCTGAGTACTGCTTACCCGCAGCTCCGCCACGCGTCCCGACGAGCCCGCCTGATGAAGCTGCTCCTCATCGGCATCTTGCTTTGCTGTCAACTATTAAACCGAATGAGCACACAACATTTGGAACAAATTACGCAGTGATACTGCATTGGCAGCGGTACACAATGTGCAGATAACAAAAAGCTAAACATACTCATCAATTACACATCCATTCTTTCTCTCTGGGCAACGTGCCATGAAGAAGGGACATTGCACGAAACGTCACCTATTATATATTTATTTTAAGGCCACAGAGTTATTGATGAATGTGTTGCATTTATATATTAAATTACAGTTATACGATGCGCAAATGCTTCACTGGGTCTGGGAAGTTCATCGGTCAGGGTGGATACGTAACGTCGAAAATGCGACGATGTGCTGTATTTTCATTCCATAGCGTCATCTTCCAGGGCTGTTTCCCGACGTTACGTTTATGCTCCGCCGACAGAAAGGCGTTGAAAAGGGATGCTTCTTGGCTTCGTGATGCGACCGCCGATGGTACCGGGATATCCACGCACACTCGGCTCTCCACTTGTCTGCGTTTGACCCCGGGCAGTCCGAGAATTGAACTCTGTGTTCGGGTATCCAGAATGGATTTGTACCGAGAACAGGTACCAGTGCCATTGTGTTTTACTTGATTACGGTATACTCAGGGCCGGATTAAGGTTATGCATGGCCTAAAGGCGAATATGAAGGAAGGGTCCAAGTGAGGTATTACATATTGCAAAAATTGAAGTCAGCAAACATATTTATTTATTTACCTATGTAAAATTAACACATTTATCCAACTCAAGGTAAATTCATCAAACATATATCACTGACTCCACTCATTTCTTCAAACATTTGTTTTTCTCCGAGCTTCAGCTGTGGGAAAGTCATGAAAGTTGTCATCGTAATTCAAAGACAAAAGGATTCTGATGGCCACGCTGTCGTCTCCCAGCTGTTACTTCAACATGGAAGGAAGTGGCCTCCAGGAGGGCCGACAAAACATGACCTAAGGCCTCATTAGCCTATGGATTAACCCGGCTAGGGATGAACGGTTAATCGATTTCAAATCGAAATCGCTATTTGAAACAATGCGATTAACAAATCGTAAAGGCTGAGATTTTTTGCGATTTTAAAAGTCCTATTACTTATTGGAATTGTTTTATTTTTTATTATTATTACTTTATTTATTTAACTTAAAAATTGTTAGATTTTAGATTTTTCTATTTCAATTAAAACATGTTAATAAATACATGTTGGAAGCAATTAATATATTTTAAGTTCTCATCCTTGCATTGGAATATATAGAGCAGTTCATATTTTGATGGTATCACGTGGTAATGCTCCATCACGTTTTAAATCTATTACGCAGTGAATATTGAACTGAAGCTTGACTTTCAAAAATGGAAACGCAAATCAAATCGCAATATCTGTCAAAAAAATCTCATTTAGATATTTTCTCCAAATCGTTCAGCCATAAACCCTGCCCTGGGTACACTGCACAGATGATAATAGAGCCAGGCTGATGGGCAAATGTGTCTGCGTTTGGTCTCGAATGCAGGCACCGACCTTCTGAGTGCAGTCGCTGATTTCCATGGCGAGTGCTGATTTTTCCTGGAGAAGAGCAGCTACCTGGCACATCAGTTTTGCTTCCCTCGCTCCCACACAGACAGGACAATCACAAGTTAATTGTGTACTAGTGAATTGTGTACAAGTTAATTGTGTACAAGTTAATTGTGTACAAACCCCGAGGCTCTTGACAGACCTGGCCCTTGCATATTAACAGCTGGCAGTTCACCAGCAGTGGTTCCAGAAAACCTTACTCTGCTCATGAGACACTGAATGTTGACACCAGTCCAGAGATTTACTTGTGGGGGAATCAATGGTGGTGAAATGATGCCCTCCGAGAAGGCCGTGTTGCTGATGGAATGTGTAAAACATATTTTTTTTAAATGGAAGGACAGATATGTGAAGGAGGCGAATATCCTGCTCATTCATTTTGTGACGCATTAACTCCAACCATTTAATTCATTCTCAAGAAAGATGCCTTCGTTCAAAATATTCGCGTCTGTATTTTTTACGGATTATAATTATTTGTCTGCTCCATGCATTGCCACGATACGGCCCTCGAGCAACTGTGAATATTATTTGTACCCAGTGCAGTCTGTCGCATCTATCTTCTATTATTAGAATACTGTGTTAGTGAACACTCAACTAGTTTAAATAAAGGAACATATTTTTTATTGGAATGTAACGCTTAACATTTATTAAGTTGTAGTTTTATATCGCAATGTGATTCATGCAGAGTGCATTTCACACTCACTGAGTAACAACATAGAGGCTGGAAGGCAGCAGCCAGGCGGTGCACTGACACTACTAACAATTGCCGACGTTCTGCAGTCCTCTATATATTAAGATGTTTACAGGCACATAATGACATTTATATATTTTGGAGGGAACCTGAGCACCCGGAGAAAACACACATGTGTGTGGGGGGGGGGGGGCAACGCTCTATCCCACACAGAAGGGACAGATGGAGATTAGTCCACACTCTGCTGTACCACCTTCTCCAGAGTATGCTACCTCCTCGATGCTCACAGAAAGGGAGGTTCACAACATTTCTGTGATCCACCAACCCTCGCTGCTGCCTCCGCAGTGCTGGATTACGGCTGCCACGTGCATTTAAAATTTAAAACGGATTTATTTTAACATGTCATTTAACTTGAGGTTCATGAGATTTATTTTACTGTGTTTAGGTCTCCGTTGAACGACGTTTGGTGTCTTTGGGCTCTAACCTGTTGACAAAAAGTCTACGTTGTGAATTGGAATATTTATACTGTATGTAGGCTAATTAAAATATACAAGCAGTATTTATTACAATGTGGCAATTTAAAATATTGTACTTACATAGACATCTTCTATTCTTTATCTGGAGACAAAAATGCATCGCAAACGTCATTTGTAACCCAAACATCACACCTCCTGCCTTTGACATTCCTCGAAGACAATTGTGGTGGAACCATCAACCGCATCAGAACATCAACAGGCCAACGCGCACCACATCTCCTTCATGAATGGAAACTTAAATACACAAACCTCAGCAGTTGCATTGTGGCTATGCTACCCAAACTATGGACCATATAGTCTACCACTTTAGTCTGTGCTCCTTAAACAGGAAAAGTAGCACACACAACTCCACGAACTCTCTCCCAAAGCCCTCTCGTGCCCAGCAGACATCGACATTGCCATTTGTCTACCATACACGGAATGGAATAAGACCTACATACACCCACATACGCTTTAATTACACTGTTTAAAATGTGTTGTTACGCAATATTTTCTTTCTGTTGTTTGATCTACTTAAAGCAAAGGCATTTTATTGCTAAACAAGCACGTGCAAGCTGGAGAAGATGATGGGCATAGACAGTGGAGCATAGTACAGCACAACTGATTGTGCTGCACTGCTCTCTGCTTACAATGTGACCCAGCAGCAGCCTATAACACCTGTGTTACGCACGGTGGTCCCCAATCCAAGCGCTATCCAGGCTCAAAACCTGCGTAGCCTTTGAGATGTGGGGACGATTTGGCCATAGGCCTATGGGAGTGTGTCTCTTCCCCCAACTGGAGCCAATGGTCAATCCACCATGGGGATTTTAACCCCTGACCTTCTGATTGTGAGTGATGCTAGCCATGAGAGGGACACTTAGTCTATTAAGTCGATGAAGTCCGTTAATTTACAAAAAATGCCTCCCGAAAGCAGTAAACCCCATACAAGCCACACCCAACGTGACGCGGCCAATGTCGCTAATTCCCCTCTGTTACCGCCCGTCCAGCGGCACACGCGGCAACGGAGGTGAGACTTTATTTCTCCCAGAAATGTCGTGTTATCTCATTAGTTGAGAAATAGCACCGTAATGATTGCTTTGTGGAGAATGTGGTGCCGGCTCTCCGGTTCCTGCTGCTGCTGCATTCCCGGTTCAACTGTGGTTCCTCCTCACACCTCTCAGTTGCTCTCTCTTCGAGAGTGAGCGAACGCTGTGTCCGTTACGAGTTGGATTTATTATATTGGTAGAGTAATCGATTATGGAAACATTCCGTTTGGAGCCAGGCTCCTGCACGATGTTGCTCAGCCGGCGTCCGGCGCTGTGCGACTGCACGTACCACAGAGCCGAGGCGGAACACAAAGCCCAGGAGCAGGCTACTAAAACCCAGAGCGCCGAGGGCGGCCATGGCCAACGGAGTGAACTGCCCAGCGTTCTTCACTCCACCTGGGCACACCCAGTCTGGCACCATCTTCACATACAAACACACACGTACATTGACATGAGGAGAAACCCAAAAGGACAGACAAATCTTGCTTTCACGTCAAACTGTAGGAACCTTGCCCATTACATCGGTCAGTTCAGCCTCATTGATTCAAGCAAGCCTAATTTCACTGAGACACTGACTATCAAAACCGTTTGCTTGTACTGAGTCAATGCTGCTGAAATGTTGCACTCCCAAAAGGCCGTGGGGCCGATAAGTTGTAGAAAAATATCCTTTTATTTATTGTACGTGGTGAGACAGATACGTGAAGGAGACGCATCGTCTGCTTACATATTTTGTAACTTAAAATTTCCGCCATGACACCAGTGATTCTTTCGTGTTGTTTTGTAGACACAGGTACACGTACTACGTAGGTCGCGTGTCATGGGACCATCTTAACAAGCGCCTGAAGTTTTGTTATGAGAGCAGAGCATTTGAATGTCACTGTGAGGTGCATGGCAACACCGACCACTCGGGAAGTCGCAGACCCCGCTGGGGGCCCTTCAGCTCCGGTCACTACATGGCTAGCCATTAAACAAAGATAGTCACTGCATGGCTAGCCATTAAACAAAGATAGTCACTGCATGGCTAGCCATTAAACAAAGATAGTCACTGCATGACTGGCCATTAAACAAAGATAGTCACTGCATGGCTAGCCATTAAACAAAGATAGTCACTGCATGGCTAGCCATTAAACAAAGATAGTCACTGCATGGCTAGCCAATAAACAAAGATAGTCACTGCATGGCTAGCCATTAAACAAAGATAGTCACTGCATGGCTAGCCATCGAACAAAGATAGTCACTACATGTCTAGCCATTAAACAAAGATAGTCACTGCATGGCTAGCCATTAAACAAAGATAGTCACTGCATGGCTAGCCATTAAACAAAGATAGTCACTGCATGGCTAGCCATTAAACAAAGATAGTCACTGCATGGCTAGCCATTAAACAAAGATAGTCACTGCATGGCTAGCCATTAAACAAAGATAGTCACTGCATGGCTAGCCATTAAACAAAGATAGTCACTGCATGGCTAGCCAATAAACAAAGATAGTCACTGCATGGCTAGCCATCGAACAAAGATAGTCACTACATGGCTAGCCATTAAACAAAGATAGTCACTGCATGGCTAGCCATTAAACAAAGATAATCACTGCATGGCTAGCCATTAAACAAAGATAATCACTGCATGGCTAGCCATTAAACAAAGATAGTCACTGCATGGCTAGCCATTAAACAAAGATAATCACTGCATGGCTAGCCATTAAACAAAGATAGTCACTGCATGGCTAGCCATTAAACAAAGATAGTCACTGCATGGCTAGCCATTAAACAAAGATAGTCACTGAATGGCTAGCCATTAAACAAAGATAGTCACTGCATGGCTAGCCATTAAACAAAGATAGTCACTGCATGGCTAGCCATTAAACAAAGGTAGTCACTGCATGGCTAGCCATTAAACAAAGATAGTCACTGCATGGCTAGCCATCGAACAAAGATAGTCACTACATGGCTAGCCATTAAACAAAGATAGTCACTGCATGGCTAGCCATTAAACAAAGATAGTCGCTGCATGGCTAGCCATTAAACAAAGATAGTCACTGCATGGCTAGCCATTAAACAAAGATAGTCACTGCATGGCTAGCCATTAAACAAAGATAGTCACTGCATGGCTAGCCATTAAACAAAGATAGTCACTGCATGGCTAGCCATTAAACAAAGATAGTCACTGCATGGCTAGCCATTAAACAAAGATAGTCACTGCATGGCTAGCCATTAAACAAAGATAGTCACTGCATGGCTAGCCAATAAACAAAGATAGTCACTGCATGGCTAGCCATCGAACAAAGATAGTCACTACATGGCTAGCCATTAAACAAAGATAGTCACTGCATGGCTAGCCATTAAACAAAGATAATCACTGCATGGCTAGCCATTAAACAAAGATAATCACTGCATGGCTAGCCATTAAACAAAGATAGTCACTGCATGGCTAGCCATTAAACAAAGATAATCACTGCATGGCTAGCCATTAAACAAAGATAGTCACTGCATGGCTAGCCATTAAACAAAGATAGTCACTGCATGGCTAGCCATTAAACAAAGATAGTCACTGAATGGCTAGCCATTAAACAAAGATAGTCACTGCATGGCTAGCCATTAAACAAAGATAGTCACTGCATGGCTAGCCATTAAACAAAGGTAGTCACTGCATGGCTAGCCATTAAACAAAGATAGTCACTGCATGGCTAGCCATCGAACAAAGATAGTCACTACATGGCTAGCCATTAAACAAAGATAGTCACTGCATGGCTAGCCATTAAACAAAGATAGTCGCTGCATGGCTAGCCATTAAACAAAGATAGTCACTGCATGGCTAGCCATTAAACAAAGATAGTCACTGCATGGCTAGCCATTAAACAAAGATAGTCACTGCATGGCTAGCCATTAAATAAAGATAGTCACTGCATGGCTAGCCATCGAACAAAGATAGTCACTACATGGCTAGCCATTAAACAAAGATAGTCACTGCATGGCTAGCCATTAAACAAAGATAATCACTGCATGGCTAGCCATTAAACAAAGATAATCACTGCATGGCTAGCCATTAAACAAAGATAGTCACTGCATGGCTAGCCATTAAACAAAGATAATCACTGCATGGCTAGCCATTAAACAAAGATAGTCACTGCATGGCTAGCCATTAAACAAAGATAGTCACTGCATGGCTAGCCATTAAACAAAGATAGTCACTGAATGGCTAGCCATTAAACAAAGATAGTCACTGCATGGCTAGCCATTAAACAAAGATAGTCACTGCATGGCTAGCCATTAAACAAAGGTAGTCACTGCATGGCTAGCCATTAAACAAAGATAGTCACTGCATGGCTAGCCATCGAACAAAGATAGTCACTACATGGCTAGCCATTAAACAAAGATAGTCACTGCATGGCTAGCCATTAAACAAAGATAGTCGCTGCATGGCTAGCCATTAAACAAAGATAGTCACTGCATGGCTAGCCATTAAACAAAGATAGTCACTGCATGGCTAGCCATTAAACAAAGATAATCACTGCATGGCTAGCCATTAAATAAAGATAATCACTGCATGGCTAGCCATTAAACAAAGATAGTTACTGCATGGCTAGCCATTAAACAAAGATAGTCACTGCATGGCTAGCCATTAAACAAAGATAGTCACTGCATGGCTAGCCATTAAACAAAGATAATCACTGCATGGCTAGCCATTAAACAAAGATAGTCACTGCATGGCTAGCCATTAAACAAAGATAGTCGCTGCATGGCTAGCCATTAAACAAAGATAGTCACTGCATGGCTAGCCATTAAACAAAAATAGTCACTGCATGGCTAGCCATTAAACAAAGATAGTCACTGCATGGCTAGCCATTAAACAAAAATAGTCACTGCATGGCTAGCCATTAAACAAAGATAGTCACTGCATTGCTAGCCATTAAGCAAAGATAGTCACTGCATGGCTAGCCATTAAACAAAGATAGTCACTGCATGGCTAGCCATTAAACAAAGATAATCACTGCATGGCTAGCCATCGAACAAAGATAGTCACTGCATGGCTAGCCATTAAACAAAGATAGTCACTGCATGGCTAGCCATTAAACACAGATAGTTACTGCATGGCTAGCCATTAAACAAAGATAATCACTGCATGGCTAGCCATTAAACAAAGATAGTCACTGCATGGCTAGCCATTAAACAAAGATAGTCGCTGCATGGCTAGCCATCGAACAAAGATAGTCACTGCATGGCTAGCCATTAAACAAAGATAGTCACTGCATGGCTAGCCATCGAACAAAGATAGTCACTACATGGCTAGCCATTAAACAAATATAGTCACTGCATGGCTAGCCATTAAACAAAGATAATCACTGCATGGCTAGCCATTAAACAAAGATAGTCACTGCATGGCTAGCCATCGAACAAAGATAGTCACTGCATGGCTAGCCATTAAACAAAGATAGTCACTGCATGGCTAGCCATTAAACAAAGATAGTCACTGCATGGCTAGCCATCGAACAAAGATAGTCACTGCATGGATAGCCATTAAACAAAGATAGTCACTGCATGGCTAGGCATTAAACAAAGATAGTCACTGCATGGCTAGCCATTAAACAAAGATAGTCACTGCATGGCTAGCCATTAAACAAAGATAATCACTGCATGGCTAGCCATTAAACAAAGATAGTCACTGCATGGCTAGCCATTAAACAAAGATAGTCACTGCATGGCTAGCCATTAAACAAAGATAGTCACTGCATGGCTAGCCATTAAACAAAGATAGTCACTGCATGGCTAGCCATTAAACAAAGATAGTCGCTGCATGGCTAGCCATCGAACAAAGATAGTCACTGCATGGCTAGCCATTAAACAAAGATGGTCACTGCATGGCTAGCCATTAAACAAAGATAGTCACTGCATGACTAGCCATTAAACAAAGATAGTCACTGCATGGCTAGCCATTAAACAAAGATAGTCACTGCATGGCTAGCCATTAAACAAAGATAGTCGCTGCATGGCTTCCCATTAAACAAAGATAGTCGCTGCATTGCACGCTTTCAGATACACTTCTGCGGCCGTCTGGAATGCTCTTCCTTTCGATATTAAGAAGCCACTTGTGTTATGCACTTTTAAATCATCTAGATTGAAATCTCATTCTTTTTCATTACTTTTTGTCTTCAGTTTATTGTCCTTTCTCCGCACCTCTGATTATCAAGGTTGACTACGTACGGTGTGAAATAAGTTCAACAACAACATACACACAGAAGGTGCGAGCGCGGACTTTTTTCTTCTTTCGCTCTGATGTTGTATTTGCACTTTTCCCTCGATGTGCGTGCATTTCGTTTACAGCCGTAAAACGCCTCGTTTGGTCCCTGTGCGATATTCCTTAAGGACCCTGCTGCCATACCCGTTCTCTGCAATACGGTATTGTTGTTTTTGTTGCTGCTGGCTGCAAGGATCACACGCTGCCGGGAAAACTGGCTTAACGGGATCATCATCATGCGTGTAACAAATCAAATTAACTCAAACTCGGTCTGTGCCAAGTTCACGCGGTGTGTGCTGGGAGCCGCTCCATGTTATCCCAGGGAGCTACGGCACGGCCACTGTGTGTGCCGGCGTCACTGTCCACGTTTCTCCAAATTTGAAAGTATACCCCCACTTTCTCAATTAGAATATATCGTGGACTGTACAATGATCGCCCCCCACTGCAAAAAATTTGGCAGGACACTCCTGAAAGGGGAGTCATGAAACTAAGTGAGGTTTTCCTGGCTAAACAAGCATAACATAGCAGACATACACGAGGATGCAATCTAAGTATGCAGGGTCATGCCCAATCAGTTCCAGGGATGGAGTGGAAGATGGCAGCCTTCACGTGGCCCACTCTGTCAAGTGAGAAATTACAACGAATGCCATCAACACAGTGACCGAACATCGATCATTGATCTCCCGGCCAGCAGAGCAACAACAACACAAGCCACGCCAATTGACCTCTTCAGGACCAAACAATGCGCCAGACAGACTCCTGGCGTGATTGTCTGACGTGAAATTGTAGTTTAATGCTCTGCATTTACATCAGCCATACGAAACAAGAAGAAGTTCCGAGGATTCAGCCTCCTCTCTCGGTGCCGGGACCCCACTCTGTGTGTCGACAGAGGGAGGAGGTCCCGGACTTACCAGGGTGACTGTTGGTGCCAGCGATGGCCACACGGAGGTGGTGGCCCTCAGGAGCAGATGGTCCAGCCTGGACACGAGCCATGGCACCGGCAGTGACCCAACACGAACATCCAACATCGGTTCGTCCAAGGACTCGGAAAGACCTGCTGGAGGCAATGACGCACCGACATGCATATGACATCATCGCCACAAGATATATATTTTAAAAAATCATATTCAGCGCTTTGTCAATCCACTGCTGATTAATTTTTTGCCACGCCATGTCATTCATGTGGTTTGTTAGACCATACTTCACCATGCTGGAGAGTGTGTTGGTGATCAGGCAATATCAAGATGTCTGCCTGTACGAATGCGTTTGGGGCAGTGCTCATTTCCATTCGTGACCGTAGCCAGTGACGTAATATCGAGTGTGCAGGCCGTGCAACTGCACCATACGCCATAGGGGCCAAGGGGCCGGGCTATGAAGAGGGCAGGGAATTGGAGTGGAGGCCCGATTTAATTCCTTACGCTATGGCCAATGCTAATCCACTACGCCACTAGTCTTAAGCAAATGATGTATGACCACTGTTGATTTTACATTAAGTAATAACGCCATTTTTTTCGCCTCAAATAAATATTTTTTCCGTGTCGACCCTCACCGGGATTTAACATCGCAACCAATCCCTCAATCTCGAGGCCTGAATTGGCACTGTAAAGTCATACTGCTCTGAAAAATAGTGCCACAGCCAATCAGTAGCCTTCGTGCTGTGTGTTGGATATAAACGTGCACGTGCGCTCGGGATAACCTACTTGTTGTATGATGTTTTCACGTAAAAATCCTACAGTACATAACCAAACTCAGTTGTGAATGTAATTGGTGCTCATTATTGCTGAGTCACTGTTGATTAATCATTGTGGCCATGGCTTAAGCAGTCAAATGCTGCCCTGGGTGTGTTTGCCCTGTGCCCTACCTTCCCTAGGGTTCCTCTTGTAAGGTGGCATCTCGTCTCACACACGATTCATTTCTGAATCTATGCGCCACCACAGCCAGATACAATCAAAACGGCTGTTGGTCAAGAGAGGCTACCTTTGACCGTCATAACAATCCCACCACAAACTTACCCTTCACATAAGATCGGCGCACCCTTCCGACCTTTGCAATTGATTCTGAAATCTCTGAGTTGGTCAACCGTGGTTCCTGCTCCTTAGCTCTATGCGAAGCCACAATGGGGTCATCATTTTCTAGCTTCGTGACTGAACGTTCCTTCACAATGTCTTGTTCTTCCAGCATCGCCTGGGCCTCTCCGGATGTTGGAGAGCTGTCACTGGGATGGTCCCCTTGATCCTGAGATGCACCGTGCAGAACTTCAGCTTCCGCTGTCACCAGTGTTTGAGATGCATCGCCTGCGTCTTGAGAACTGTGTGTGTCTATTAAATCTACGTTTTCAGCAACACTGACTTCCGGCACCAAATCATCGTCCATACGTCCTTCGCTCACCATTCCCATTTCTCGTACCAGTGCAACAATAATCTCAGATTCTGAGCCATCATCTTGGTTTTGCCTCTCTATAGCGACCGCGTCACTCGTCGTGTCGTCGTTCTCCCCCACGATGCTGCCTGTGGAAGCGTAGTTCGCTTTAACAGCATCTACGGTTGGCTCCTCTTGTGCAAGATTACCTTGATCGCTAACAACCTTTCCTGCACCCGCACCCATATTATCCATCACTTCGGCATCACTGGTAGGGTCACGCGACTCAATCACTGTGCTGGTATCAGCATTTTCCTGCTGGTTTGATGTAACATGCTCACTCAGCTGTATGCACTCACCAGCCATCATTTCAGGATCCGTTAATCCGAGATCAAAATTGGTGTTGGCGTACTGAGATGTGGTGCCACTCATTTCAGTTTCAGGGACAAATTGTGCGCTGTCGATGATGCCGTGTTCATTTTCAGCATCAACATCAGCAACAGAGCCTAACTCTTGTGACTCGTCTGAAAAGTCAATTCGGTATGCTACATTCAAGCTGCTTGAGTCATCTTCGGGCTCATTCACTGTGTGTGGTACCACTTCAACAGATGGCATAATGTCTTCGTTTTTAACCTCTTCAGCCATGGTATCGTTCTCCAAATTGACGCTTTCGCCAATATGATCTTCAGTGGCAAGTGGATTTGGTGGCGTTTTAATGTGTAATTCTTCCTTAATATCGTCACCTTCTAGATAATCGTCCTCTTGATGCAAAATTAAGTCTTCATGCGGGTCATCTCCGACTTGGTTTCCTTGGTCTGATGGAGTATCTTCATTCTCATTCCAAGTTTGCAGAGTCTCGTCACCAGAAAAAGTTTCACCATCTTCTGCTCCATTACTTTCGACATAATTTTTACGAAGCTGCACATCTGATTCTTCACGTGGATCGGATGGAATGCTTTCAGTCTCATGTGGATATTGCAAAAGTTCATCAGCAGGCGATGTTTCATTTTCATCAATGCCATCACTTTCCACATCAGCTGTGTCAGGCTTTGAAGCCAGGCCTTCATGATGTTCGTGTTCCGTGTTATCTACTAACCCATGTTCCGGCTCAAGCGCTTGTTGCAGATATTTATCAACCAACGAAGTGTCATCTTCATGCACACCGCCACCTTTGGCGGCACCGTCATGATACTTAAAAGTTGATTCTTCATATACATTGCCTTCCAATGTTTTTGATGAATCGTCTTCAGGCTTATTTTGTTCAATCGGAGCTTCTTCAACATGCGAGGCTTCACCTACACCATCACCTTCTGTAGCAGTTTCAGTTTGTTCGAAAGACAAAATTTCCTTTGCTTCACCTTGCGTGGCTTCAGGCTGACTTACATTTGGAAGCATTTCAAACACAGATTCAACGGCATCTTCTCCACGATGCAACGCTATGTTCTCCACATCGGTGTCTTCCACCGTTGATGTTGCATGTTGTTGTACTTTTATTTGGTCCTGAGAACTCTCTTCAGGTTCAAGTTGAGTTGGTAGAGGTTCTGTGCCACCTCGATCAATGCTGTCATCCACAGAGTCACTTTGGTATTCAAATGGGTGATTTGCATTGAGCTCAAGTGAACTTTCTTCAAGGCTGTTTTCACTTGGTGAAAATTCTTCCAGAGAAGGTTGTTCACTTGGTTTAAGGTCACTCCCATCTTCTACGATACTGCCATTGTCACCTGTTACTGATTCAGATAACAGCTGGCCTTCAACCAAATCGGATGACCTGTCTCTATCCTCATTTGGGCTTGGTGGGCGTTCAGTCACAAGTGCATTGTCATCATTCTCAAGGGTAATATCATTGATAGAAGCACTGTCATGCTCAGATATTGTGCCATCAGTCACTTCATCAATAGTCTTTCCACAATCGCTGTCAGTGCTAAGGAGTGCATCATCTGAAACATCAGAACCATGACCAACTTCTGGTTTCTCATCGCTGACAGCAACTGATTCATCACTTTCAACATTAAATCCGTCAGAGTCAGATTTCGCATGATGTAAAGTCGCATCTTGTTTGTCATTATCGATATCTTGGTGCTCCAATAATATTATTCCTTCCTCTTCATTTGCAGAATCATTTGACTCTGTTGTGACAGCATCAACAGAAGTTGGATCGCCATCCAAGTCACCATTTTCATATTTAGCAACGTCCATGGTATCCACCGTTTCATTTTGCATGTGACTTTCGACCTGCAAAATATTTTCTTCTTGGCTAATACCATCTTGAACTTGTGAGCTGTCGGCAGGTGTAGGTTCTGGCCACAGGGTTGTGTTTTTATTCTGATCACCTTCATTTGCCATGCCTCCAGTTGTTGCGAGCTGAGGTGGTTGCCCTTGGCCATTTGTTTCAAACACTTTACCGGGTGCCGCCATGTCCTTTGCATCTGAGCTCATCTTATCCTTGGCCGTTTTTCTCTTAAACAGTTTAGTCACCTCCTGGGCGTGGTTCAAAAAGCCATCAAACCACCCCGATTGAGGAGATTTGTTCTCTGCCCCATCCAGAGGCATTGCTGCTGCTTTTCCATTTCCTGTGTCCACCACCAGGTCTTGCATCTGCTGAGACGAGCTATCACCTCCATTGCCATCATTCAATTTATTTTCAATTTGAACATAGTCATGGACTTCCGATTCGAAAGTGTGGTTTTCAGCTTGAGATAAAGCATCATCTTGGTCTGAAATTACATAATAATCATGCCCTTTGAGTGACTGCCCAGCCACTGGCATAATCTCACTGGCTGTAGGTGCAGTGTCTTCAGATATTGCCTTTTCGGAAGTTATTTCCACATTTGAGAGATATTCTGGAGAGTTTCCGTCAATGCTCGACTGCTGCTTAGCACCATCAGTTTGGCCAGTGGCTTTTTTGTTGGGAAACATTCCAAACCCTGAGAACATCCATTTGGCATTATTGTAAAAGCTACCATCAGTGGAATCCACCTTACCTCCACGGTCACCAGTAGAAGAGGTGTCGGGAGATATGCTGATGTCCCCACCGTTGCTCTCCTCTGTTAACACAAGCGTGTTCCCATACGCCAGTGGCTCTGCGCTTGGCAGCTGTGGGTCTTTTGTAACCACTTCAACATTCGCATTATTGCTCAGATCTGCTGAAGCATCAGCTGTGGGTTTATCTGGGGCTGAAGCCTCAACCGAGGCCTGAGATTCATCTATGGGCTGAAGAGTCGGGGAACGGTCTTGCAAGATTGTCTCTTCGCTCTTTTCACTTGTAACGATCCCACCTGTACCAGCGGGCTTGTCGTCTGGCGCCGGCTTAGATCCGAAGAAGTTGAAGCCACTCACGAGACTCTGCACGTTATTAAGGAACCCTCCAGGCACATGTGGCACTTTGGCGATTTCATCTCCAGGTGTAGGCACCTCATGCTGAGCCAGTGAAACACACAAACACACAAGTACACAATGAACCCACCTATCCATGCATCCACCTACACACCTACAGTATCTACCCACCCACTTACAGTGGTAGACTGGAGTATGTAGTGTGTGACGAGTAAAAACAGCCATAGTGAAAGATATATTGGCATTCAATGCCAAAAGCAAATCAAATAACACGAGCATTGAAACTGCCCAAGTAATGAAAACTATTAAAATACCGTACATTGCGGGAGTAACTGATAAACTAGCCAAATGTTTGGAAAAACAAAACATCTGAGTCAGATTTGGCACAGTACATAAAATACAGAATTAATGTCTGGTATAAAATATGTATTACCGAAGCTATAAATAGCTGTGTACCGGATTAATTGAACTTGTGGTAAATGCTATGTTGGGCAAACTGAACGAAAATGATCAGCACGAGACTAAAAGAACACCAAAGAAATATTAAATACTCCCAAATACAATTGTTAGTAGTAGCAGAACACGCGTGCCAACAAGGACACTCAATTGATTTTGACAATGTTGAAGTTCTGTGCAAAACTAGTTACTACTGGCCAAGACAAATTAGAGAATCTATCGAAATTGAGAGAAATAAAAATTATTTTAACCGTTCGGATAGCTACCGTCTTAGAGCTGCTTGGAAGCAAATCATTAAATAATATATTGTTTAATTTAATGTATTATTTGGGATTAGAGATTACATTTGGTAGGCTATTTTAGTCCACACAATTGACAGGGAGTTCAAGAACAACGGGCTCCCATAATGCACCTGCATAATGTTCGTTGATCACTACATAAATATGCATTAATTAATTGCCCCCCCTACTTCAGGCAAGAAGAGCACACAAGTGTTGTCATCACATCTACGCCTCTATTTAAGGAACGAAACAGATGGACTTCTCCACAAATCTGGCTGTCGCCTGATGAAGCTAGTTGTAATTACGGGCGAAACGTCGTACTCAGATTGTAAATGTTGTGGCTTGGCTCTCCAACTCACCGGTGTGCTGTACTAGTAACGAATTGGCACGTTCTGTTTACGTGACAAATCTTACTAATTGGTTGTGTCGGGTAGTGGTGGATTTAACGAGATTTACATATTTACGCGATCTAACCCAAAAAAACTGTATTTTGGATGATATTGGCCGTGAAAGCCTACGTGTTAAACTGAGGTATATTGGATTTGGTGTGCCAGGTGCGAATATATTTTCAAGGACGCTAATCCGGACAGACTCGGCTGAAATTAAGCCCTGGTTATACATGATTATTATCTTGGGTAATCACCTTAGATGGTAATTTAGAAATAGATTGCTATTTATCTTGGGTATTTACCTTCACCAGCAACACAAGCCACAGGCACAGCTTAGCAAAAAATGAAGTCACGCCCTCTTCTCTAAACTTAATACTGCACTTTGCGTATCGTGTGGGTGTGCGTGCTCTCTCACTCCCAGGTCGATTTTCACCTCCTGTTCCGCTGCGACGTCGCCTGGCTTGGATGAGTCGGCACCACTGTCCCCACTTGGCGATTGCGCAACGTCGCTTGCCAGCTCTCCATTTCCACCTGGGGCACGCTGCTCGTCGCCGAAGTGGCTCAGCATATCAGCAGCATCTCCTGGCCCTGCAGCGTCGCCTGCCGCCGGGCCTGTTTCGAACTGAGACGCAGCTTTGTCTCCACTGAACCATCCAAGGATACCTCCCGCGTTGGACAGAAGCCCTTGCATGGTGGCGGCAATGCCGGTGGACTTTATCTCTGGAGGCTTTACCAAGTCGGCCCTTTCAGCCAAGATGTCATCCTCTCCAGAACCGATGACGTTCTCTTCTGAGGAGGTGTCTTCAATGAACTCCTGATCCTCAACCTCAGGGTTGCCCACAGCCAATTCGGCCGAGTCCAATTCAGCTGAGTTGTCCTCAATGTCCTCACTGCTGTCGTTTTCTTCCCCAACATATTCTCCATCGAGACACCTAAAGTCCCTCTCCTGAACACAGACAGAATTGCAGGAGACATTCTAGAGTACCTTGGCATTGTTATTTCCATGCATTTTTTTGGAGTGAATTGTTTGCAATGGGATCAGGTCTTAATTTAATGTGGGGTCTGTGTGGGTTTGTGACCTGCTCGACGTGCCTGGTCCAGTCTACCAGTGACCCAGCAAATAATACCTAAAGATTTGAGCCCTGAGTCAAATAAAGTGTAAAGTGGTATATTATCTCCTCCAGCTAATCTTGAGCAAGAGTAAAAACATGTGTTAATAAACCTGTTCTTCATTCTGTTAAGAGTTAAAGTATCCCAATCGTTGTACAAACAGTGTGTGATGGGCTTACCGTTGACGGCAATTTGATCTCCTTTGCGTTCAGAAATGGCTGGGCTTCCTTGACAACATCTTTTGGGAAAAATCCAATCTTCCCTTGACACTACAACACAATGATTAAAAACAGTCAGTGTTGAAATATAAACGACATGATGGTATTAGCGGATGGACAACATCTCCGCAGCCAAATGGGTGACATAGTCCACCGCTGCAATTTACAAGCAAATGAAGATGGATAGTTGATCGAGAAATGCATATATATATTTTTTCCCTGGGCCATTCCGCTTACAAGATTTCTCACAATAGTTTTTACACCAGAGCTGGGAAAGCTTTGGCCCATGAGCCAGATATGACCCAAGACTACATTTAATTCGGCCCTTGGCCACATAAGACCTACTACTTTAAAACGGCCTCCACAAACGATACTGTCACTGCAAACACTGTGGCCATACATCAACTTGGGAAGTGCGACCCAGCCTCAATGTGTTAGTGAAAGGAGAGCATTATTTTTGCATCATTATTTTATGACGCCACGGTGTGTGTTAATGTGTGGCCCACCAATGGTACTTGAAAGTCAGTGCACAAAGCAGGATGACGAGATGCATGCTTGGATTTACATTGAGAGGGAGAAAGAGGAACACATCGATGAGAGAACATGCACAGTCTAAGGGCATCATTCAAACTGTTCAGACAAGTAAGTGGGCTTGGGCAGGACACGAAACTGGAAGGTATGATGGCGGGTGATCAATAATCGTGACAGAGTGGCACCTCAGAATATAAAGCGTCCGAGATGACGTCCACCGATGAGATGGAGTAAGGAGATCAGCTGGTGCGCAGGTGTTAGATGGTTTGCTACATCGCATAACTGTGAGAGGTGGTCATGGCTTAGGAAGGTCTTCATCCAGCAGTGAGTTGATCAGAGCTAATAAATTTAATAATGATCACAGATAAGTGTCAGTTGGGTGGTGATGTCAGGTACATGTTGTCTGGTGAGGGTCAGTGAGTCGAGATCATAATGATTATTTGGGCCAAAGCAAGGCCAAGATTCTCCACCCCTGCTTCACACTCACGCTGCCAGCCCAGAGGGAGTCTGACTCGCCGGTGAGTTTCATGAACACCTGAATCCTGTCCTTGGCCTTGAAGGAAAGGTAGCGGCAATCCGGAGCCTCGTAATCCCTGAGCGCCTTCACGTGGCTCATGATGGCTTCACACAGCGCATGTACACACACACATACGCGTCAACATAATTTAATTCACTGATGGGCATTAATTTAGTCCATATATATGCGTAGCTCCTATGTGTTTTTTGGGCCGCGCGATGTTTGGCATGATGTCCGACGTTTCGCTCCACATGCTGGGAACTTTTTTACGAACTCAATCCAGCTCGTGGAGCGAAATATCGGACATCGTGCCGAACGACACGTGGTACGTCCTGAACACACACGAGGGAACTGTACAGCACAACCGTGAAAACACATGCAAAGTAGTGTTATATACGAGTTGTCAAATATTAAATAGCATTTACATTTTCTCCATTGGTCACACACAAGTGAGTGTACGAAAAGACAATTCTAGAAGCACACCACACTTAGGGCAGTTACATTGCCTAGCAGAGGGGTCGGCCACCAAAATAACAAGAGACTTTTTTTCGAATTCGGTTAAAGAAACTCAATATTACAAGATCCGCAATGCCACGTGAATACGAGACGATGGTCCTTAATAAATAACGTCACGAAGCAGTCCTTAAAGAGCCACATGCGGCTCCGGAGCCGCAAGTTGCCAACCCCTGGCCTAGCAGTAGCGCGTGAGCCGCTTGAAGAAGGTCTACAGTTGGAATCCAGCAGCCGCCCTGATTAATACTGTGGGTGTATAAACCATAATAACTCCACGCCGTCCGCTTCGCAGTGGACTTTAAAGATCGCGTGACGTCATTCGCGAGAGCAGTAGGCCATTGTGTGCCAGCGTTGTTTGTACACATTTACCAAATTCGCTAACTATGCAATTGGGAATACACATAGCGATCGTTCCACCCGACTGCAGCGTTCTTCATTGCAAGGCTCACGGGCCACTGGCGGCCCCTGGTGGCATTTAGTGCGAGCCCTGACGTGCGGCCGCCGACAAAGACAAGTGAAAACACCCCCATCATCATCGTGCTGCTGTCAAACCCCCAATGGTTTCAAATGCCTTATCGGCAAAAGTGGCCCTCCTCTGAAAAGCAGTGAAGAACACTGCCTTATTGAATGACGAATGTCCCCAGGTCACTCTTGCAAATGAGACTCATGCTGGCGTCTTTAACACGTAGGCTTTCGCGACCAATATTATTCATAATAAAGGTTTTTGGGTTAGATCGCGTTTATTTATAAATGTGTCGTAACCCTCCACCACCCGACACGGCCAATCAGCAAAAAAGTGTCACGTTGACAAAAGACAAATAATTCACTACTTTAGCCCACCGGTGTGTTGAAGAGTGAATCCACATGACCATTCTGGCGAATTGCCCGATGATGCTGGATGTATTTACCAGCGAAACGTCGTACTCAAACTGTAAATGTGGATTCACTCTTCAACACACCGGTGGGCTAAAGTAGTGAATTATTTGTCTTTTGTCAACGTGACACTTTTTTTTGCTGATTGGCCGTGTCGGGTGGTGGAGGGTTACGACACATTTATAAATAAACGCGATCTAACCCAAAAACCTTTATTATGAATGGCGTCTTTAAGTTCTCAACTCGTTTAACAAATCACGCCAGGCACGCAGTGCGCTTGGGGGGGGTGAGTGCCCTGTGTCACCACTCACCATTGCAGCCTTCATCTGCGCACAGCTTGAAATCAGAAAACTTGTGAGCGCCAGCGGGATTCCATCTCACGGAGAGAAGGCCAAGAGCCAGCAGAAGCCTGCTGACAGGTGGCCCCATGGCTCACACGAGTAAACGTCCAACGAAGACTAAAACGCGCAGCAGCAAGTCCTTTCTTGGGCTTCAAAGTGACCTTTGGTCGCTGGCAAACCACGTCAGCGCGCTGTTCATTGCCAGTTGACACAATCACGAAACGAAACATCCGCAGAAGCCACTACCGCAAACACCGGGTGGAATTTGATGAGAGTGGCTTAAGTTTGTTGGCAGTTTTCATGCCATTTCTATTCTCTTCTTGCCTACGAGCTAAAACAGCAGATGTTCTAGCCACGACGAGAGGGCCTCAGGAGCGAGTTTTTGTTTTGCTATATCTCCTCCGTTAAACGAGCGAAGACTACAGTGCTGCGGTTTACCAGATGGTGCATAGTTTGGGTTGCATGGCCACAATCGCTTGTCTTTAATTGTCTATTTATGAAGACGTGCACATCGACCTGTTGAGGTTCTCATACGGTTAATGGTTCCACCAGCGTCTTTGAGAATGAGCGTCACGCCAGTTGATAGTGCGAGTTTAAAAGTGAAGATGTGTACATTGAAATCCATGTGCAGCCCTTGGTCAATCTACTGCTGGATAAATGTCGGCCTATGCCGCGTCGCTCATGGGGGTTTGTTTGACCATACTTCCCCTGAACTCGCAGCGCCGTGCCGTGCTAACCACTGTGCCACCGCTCGTAACGAATTGACGAATTCTCTGTTCTGTGACGCATTGTGCGCATAAGATATTGTCCAGAGAAGAGTTTAACACTCCATAATAGAGGGTTTTTTGGGGTTAGATCGCGTTAATATATAAAAGTGTCGTTAAACCCGCCACCACCTGACACAGCCAACTAGTGAGGGTTGTCACGTAAACAGAACGTGACAATTCGTCACTAGTACAGCACTAGTGTATAGTGTAGTGTATAGTGTAGTATACTAGTACAGCACTAACCGGTATGTTGGTGAGCCAAGCCACAACATTTACTATCTGAGTTTAATGCTGTACTCGGAAAGTTCAAAACGGATAAGAGTTTGCAGGCTCAAGTAAATACGAATGAAAAATGTAAACATTTGTTTGGTTATTATGAATGTAATTGCTTTTTAACAATTTAGCGACTAAATTCCAAAGCTTAACAGTAGTTTATTGGAAATTAGGATATATTTTTAAATCGCATGCTGCATTGTTTATTCTTTGTTTAATGGTTATGTTAATTAATGTGAAGTTATGTTTTGCTTCATGTAATTGTATTATTTCCGTGTTTATAGCCTTTGTTAGATGTGTGGACTGCGTGTTGCCAGGGTTACTGAGATCCTCTGTGACGCGGGGCTTCCTCTCGACCCACCAGATACAATGTGGGAGTGGATTTTACTTAAAGCTTTCGTGACTGCAGGAATTCATATTCTTTGGGTGTTTCGATAAAGCCACGTAGATAGAATAAATAATAAAAGATTAAAAAAATTGGAGTGGTATTTATAGAAACCGTGGTGTATATATACTATATATAGTATATACAGTATATACTATATATAGTATATATGTATATATAGTATACATAGTATATATACTGTATATACTATATATAGTATATATACTATATACAGTATATAGTATATACTATATAGTATATATGTACTGTATATAGTATATATACTGCCCTCTCGTGGTGGGAAGCGGGTAGTGTAGCGGTTAGCGCCGCTGCTCGACAACCCAGCCACCCGAGATCGATTCCCGCTCATGGCCACCAACACCAGTGACGATTATCCGAACCGATTCTGGGCCTCCCCTAGGTCGATTCAGCCTGGTGCGATGTGTAAAAACATTTGCCATTAGAGAGACAAAGGCGACCGGGAGTGGTGCTGGCCACCCAGCCCCTCACGTGTGCCGTTCCAGCCGTCGTAGGTGCTGCTCGCTAACAGCACTTGCCTAAAAGTATTTTAAGTTTTTACGGGGGATTGTTTTTGTCTAATAGTTGAACACAACATACACAAAGTGGTAGATGGAAGTGAGCTCAATAATCATGCGAATAAATAAAACTCGTGTTGCAAGAGTGACCCTGGGTCACCGAAATGGCAAAAGTTATATCCGCTGCTGGATGAAGGCCACCCAAAAAATGACGACCATTTAAAGTGATGTCCATTCCAAGGTGTACGTAATGACGTCATACACAAGCGTGTCCTTTCGGTATCTACGAACTTCGCTGTGCGTAATGACGCGATTGATGCGTGATGACGTCACTGCGTTTGAACTTCTGCCGCGTTCTTTCGCGTAATGAGGACGGTCACGCCGCTGCGAACCGTGCGTCATCACGTCATCATAACGCGCTTTTGTTTAGTTTAAAATAGACGATCCTTCCGTGATGACGTCACCCTCATTAAAACAGCGCGACTTGCCGTGCGCGATGACGTCACCACCTTGAACTTCTGCCGCGTTTTCACACGAGAGAACGTCGCTCGATGGCGGTAACCGTGCGCGATGACGTCATCACAACGCTGCTTTGTTTAACTTGCGCGGACGCGCCCTTTCGCGATGACGTCACCGCCGCTTCAAACAATAGCTTGCTTGCCGTGCGTGATGACGTCAGGCTCTCTTCCGCCGTCGTGACGTCAGCACGCCGCGGGAGAAACGCGTTTGGTGAGGCGCCATGTTGGAAAGGCGAGGGTTAGACGCCGCGGCGACCATGGTGGTTTTTTAAGATTTATTTTAACGACAAAGCTCCCTCGACCGCCTGGGGAGGCTCGCCAAGACGACAATAACATCGTAAGTGTTTGCTTTTGGAGACGGTGGCTTCCAAGCCGCGTTAATCGCTGTTGAACGGGACAATAGTGTACCTAGGCCGCAACACAGTAGGGGCTTCCTTAAATCACGCGTGTGTATCTCAAACATCGCTGGATTATGGGAGAAGCTGCTTACTCTTCGAGTGATATCGTGCTTTGATGTATTGTGCTTTGTAATTATTATATTTGTAGAGTCCTAAGTGTGTCGTTGAGTCGCGACCGCTTTGTGAAGCTTCCCGCGCCTGGGCCGCTAGTCTAGTGGTACTCGCTGGTGTAGGCCACGCGTGGTAAGTATTTGTAGTTTTATCAATTAATAACAACAAAAATATAATTTGTTAAGCCATTGAGTTATTGTTGAAGGGTTTATACACGTAATTTAACGTGTAGTGGTTGTGAAAACTGACATACATCTTCATTAGCTCTTAGAGCTCGTGTGTTGTGTAAGGGTCGTTCGCTGGCATTGTTGCTTGAGAAATGAAAGTGTTTTTTTAAGATACTCTTTGGTTCTATTCGGTAAAGTCACGTAGGTAAAAAATAAAACAACAAAAATCACGACGTTTCGGTCTACGTGACTTTACCGAATAGAACCAAAGAGTATGGATCCTTGCAGTCACGAAAGCTTCAAATATAAAATTCTTTTTAAGATGCCACGTTTATAATCATTACCTTAGCTAAAATGTTTTAACCTCCGTTCTAATTGTTTATAAGAATAGTATTGAGTTGCTGAATGCTGAATACGTTCTCTCCTGTAGTTGCATGGTTACATAAACAAAAGACGTCACGATTTACTTTGGGTGAGCTTGTTTCAATGATGTACACAAAAGTCGGGGCGACGGGTTTGGGAGGCTTTCATCCAGCAGTTGAATGATCGTGACTGATAATACAAACGCATTTAGCGTGTCCTCGGCATTGTGCTGTTTACCATTTATTTTTTAAACGATGGCAAACGTGGAATGTGTTCATGCCTGTGTTGGTAATATGACTTATGTGGGAATACAGTGTGGCCCAAAATTCAGGACACGACGTTTTATTTATTTTAACAAATCACGTAGGGTTATACCATTTATTTTAACAAACGTTCAAACTCACTTCCTTGAACATTGATTCATGTAAGACATTTGAAATTAATGTAGGTATTTTTTAAGACCACTTGTGTAATCTTTATACATTCATCAATTATATGTTGTCTCAATTCATTCAAGGTTCTTGGTCTAGTTTTGTAAATGTCATCTCAAGAAATAATATAAATATATAATTAATGCACTTAAATAATAAACAATTAAAATGTTTAATACCAGTATTGACTTTTGGGCAACCCTCTGAGCTGCATGGTGCTGTGAAACGCAGGCTGTATCTTACATCACTTTAACATGTGCACACTGGAGATGAATTAATTTAATACTCTGTTTTTATTTGTTTGGAAAATCATAACTTATTTCTTTATTTACATTCATTACGCGTAACTGATTGTTCAATACAATCTGAAGATTCTTAAAAATGCAACTCATACCCCTGCAAAAGCCAATTCATATAGACCTGTGGCTGGTTGCATAGAACGTAGATCTGAGACTACCTCTCCCTGCACATACGGCGAAGAAAAGCAATCTTATGGATTACTATCTCCAACTCCTAAACTCAAACCCTCTCCCCTAACCCTTAATCCCCATCCGAAACCCTAAATACTAATCCCCTAACCCTACACGAAAATTGAAGTAGTATGCTTTAATATTTTATCAACGAAATTCTGAAGCGTGAATTAAAAAGGACCGCTCATGGGTAAAAACCCAAGGAAGGTCTGTGATAATAAATATATCCTACGGATGAAGAATTCTGTGGGGACAGTAGTTACGGTAGAAGAGTAAGTTATAACAACATAGATGGTAGTACACTATGGTACTGATTACATGCTTAGTACAAATTGCATCACATTAATGCCAAATGTGAATGAAAATCGTATACTTTTTGTTTTAATTTTATTTGAAACCTGTATGTTTTGAAGGGTTTTTTAATGGATACAGGTGTCTTGTGAATCCAATTACTAGTGTGCAAATCAATGGCATAGAGGTACTGCTACGAACTTAGCCACCTGAGTTTGATTCACAGCCATAGCAAACAATGGCAAGTGATATCTTTCTTGACTGGTCCTGGGTCTACATCCTTCACCAACCCTCATTTATTAGTATGGTGAAACAACCTAAGACTAACCCCTGATGGGGAAACCTTCAACCATTAGTGTATTCACAAATGGATGTAAATTATTATGATTACGCTATTACAAAATCATCAAAGCTGAATGACAATGCGTTTGCAGTGAACTCCCACAATTAGTAACCTCAACTCACGTTATGACGTCTTTGTTGTATACTTTAACAATTAACGATGAAATAGTGACTTACGTAATTGGCGTTGTGTGGGACTTTGTGGACATCTTAATGTACAATTTGTACACTAGATTATTAAAATTTTAAAAGGCATATAATCCATAATTCATCAAAGCATTTAAATACTGTGGTTGCAGTGAGATTTTACGTGGTTGAAGATAACTGGGCTTGCTTTGGAGACTGGCTGGCCTTTAAGCTTTTCATTGGGCACCCTATGAATCATCTGATGTTCCGTTTCTGTGGGCGTTATCAATATAAAATATGTGTTCAATAAGTACATTCATTCATTTAATACTTGACATTTTTCTCATGTAAAATACATCACTGATTAATTTTTTAAACGGTATGGAATGCCTGTAAAAAATGTACTTTGCCTGTTGAAACCTCTGGATAAATGGTGTGTTAGAAATATCATTGATGTTAATTACTTGCATACAGTGCCTGTAGTTAGATGTAAAATATGACCTTCATTTTTTGTTGTTTTGTCTGCTGCTGCAGCCTTCTCATAATGCAGGGATCTCAGTCTTCCCAGTCAGGGAGGCAGCATGGCATCACGTCGCCCATCAGCCTTGCGGAGCCACGCGAAGCCGACCGTGTTCTCACACGACACCTCATGAATACTCTTCTGCCATTTGGGGTCTTTGAAGAGGAGGAGGAACTTAACCACCGGTAAAGGAGTAGATTGTGCTTTTGGTTGTATCTTTAATTGGAGGTCCATCTCATTTATATCATTGTTTCCACAATGACCATGGCTTATCAGCTCTTATCAGCTCTTCTCGCTTTAAGAATTATGATCCACTATTCCTTGTTTAACAATTTCTCATTCATACGCACATTAAGCCTTTGTACTTTCATCACACATTATGAGTCTTCACCATTAAAACTGCAGTACATCACAGACTGGAGCACACAAATGCCCATTGTGAAAGTCTACCTGCTTTCGTGTCTTGTGATTATAATATGCTTTATTTATTGAAGGACAGTACATTCGTCACAGATTGTTGGATAGGCAGGCATTATTAGACCATCTTTCGTATGGCATTGTGAAAAGCAACAGTTTTTATTTTTTCTTAGTGATCATCATAAATTAACGCAAAGGTTCCTCATCCAGTCCAATGATGTGGTTGACGCAGTGTGGATTTCAGCGATACCGCCAGGATGTGCATGGATGGAGCATTCATCAACAGTCGCTGATGGGCGATTCCTTGATCTTCCATTTATGGGACGTGTACGCGCATCTGCCGTGTTGTGTTTTAGTGCTGTTTAGCGTGGTCCGTCGTCGTGGAAGAGAGACCATTATTGATATAGTCTGGAATATGATTAATATGATTATATAGCCTTATAAAAAAACTTTGATTTTGTCTGACCCTTGACCATTGCATATATTGCGATGCAACTTCCATTGTCACAGGGAAAAACTGCTATGAAAATTTCAAGTCGGATCAGTGCATAAGCCTGTGTTTGGATTTTACATTTTCTTCAAGATTGTTAACTATTAGACGTGTGTTTTTACAGGATGGTTGTTTTGGGGAAATTAAATAACTTGGCAAAAGCATGGGTCCGAGAAGTTGGTGAAAGCAAGGTAAGCTACAATATTAAAACAATGGTAATAAAACAATCATCACAGTTGCAATTACACGTCGTAGTTTACAAGTTGGTGCAAGTTAGGGTGCAGTTTAAGCCAATGCGCTTATATGGTGATGTTTTTTTCTTCTGCAGAATCTTCCACCAGCAATTTTGGAGAATGGCGGGGGTAAAATATTTACGTTTGGGTCCTATCGGCTGGGAGTTCACACAAAAGGTAATTGTTGTTCCCTTCTTCCTTGAAGCATCAATATAATTGTATTGAAAGGAAAGATGCCACCCACCTTTTCCAAAAATGAGGAAAAGTTATACAATTATTTTTGTCCTCGTCTGTGTCACATTTAACTCGCTAACTTAACAATTAAGAGTATGACCTGTGTTGTAAGTAAAAGCCGTCTTGTTCAAGAATGGTTATTGATTCATATCAATAAATAAAGTGACGTAGCACATCTATAATTATAACCCGTCACTGATGTATTTATAGGTGCCGATATTGACGCCCTGTGTGTTTCGCCGCGACACGTGGAACGTATCGACTTCTTCTCGACTTTCATCGAGATGTTAAAGAATCAGGAGGGAGTAAAAGACCTCCGGGTGAGAACTTCTGCAGAACCACACAAGCTTATTTTTCTCATTGGGGAATACATACAATTTTCTGTATTGAATGTATTCAATGGCAACTGTTTGTCTGGTCGATCAGGTGTACAGTATGAATCCATTCCTCCAGCTGCACCCTCAAGCACACACCGTGCTGTTCCTCTCCATTGAAGTTCACCTCTTTCCATTCACACTGCTAATAATAAAACAACAAAAATGTCTTGATCTGGATGTGTCTCTGATCATGAATTGTTCAGCATGAATGTTTGGTGTCAACAACACAGCTACATATTCTTGGTTCTTTCGGTAAAGTCACGTAGAAGGGAAACAAAAAATATTGTTTTATATTTTTATTATTTTATTGTTTCCCTTCTACGTGACTTTACCGAAAGAACCAAGAATATGAATCCCTGCAGTCACGAAAGCTTTAAATCAAAACACAACTACAGTTGAGTCATTTTGGTACAAGTGGCGTACGAGTCATCCATTGTATTTATTTCACATGGACGTGGTAGGCCTTGTTCATATTTCACAACCCTTTAGCTTCACAGCTGTGTTAGCCTGCTAGTACCTGTGGCAGAGTGTAAAAGAAAACTCCAAATTATATCACCATATTGATGTTCTTAAATGTAGTTCATGACTTCTGATGAGTTTTTAACAAAATGTGAAGTCCTGTATTATGCTCATTGTGAATGTGATTGTTTTGCCAGTTGTGTTTGCCCAAGCCTTTAAGAGAGTCAGGAAATCACGTTGATGTTTGGTCTCTTGATAGTGCAGGTTGACTTCCAATATGGACGCAGTGAAACTAATTTATGACCTTTTGTCCTACAGTCTGTGGAGGATGCCTTTGTACCTGTCATCAAGCTTACGTTTGACCACATTGAGGTAAGAAATACAAATCCACTGCGTTTTTAGTTGCACAAAGTGATAAGTAGCAGAAGATAAATATTAAATACAAGTGTTTTTCCCCAGAAACACACTAAACCTCTGCCATATAACTTTTGTACATATTTGCACGGAAAGATTTTACTGCATGGCAAATAATCATTTATATTGTTTCATTACTTTTCATTGTGGGATGTTGCAAGACAACAATTTGGTACTGTCCTTGTTGCAGCATATGCTGGATGATATTCAAATGCATTTCCTGCTTAACATAGCTTTGGAATTCAGCACGGTTATTTGTAACGGCCTTCACCCCAACAGTATGAAAACGTTATTTAAGCCTTTCATTGCACTGTGGGAAGTAGTTTTGTGCCATCCTGGCTTTGTGCCGACTCTTTCTCATTGTTTAATTTCGTGCATCTGTTGTACGCCATCACTATCGCTTGTCTCGCCTCGCCCCCCAAACACCTAGATCGACGTGTTGTTCGCACGGCTGGCTCTGCAGGTGATCCCCGATAACCTAAACCTCCGTGACAACGCACTACTCAAAAACCTCGACATCCGATGCATCCGCAGCCTCAATGGTAACGTGTGGCAGCAGTGAGCTGCGTCTTGTTGGAGTGTAACAGGCTGCTTTGTGCAGTTTCTGTTTTACACCCATATATTTTTTTGTTGTTGCCCAGTCTGCTGTGCTTACGTTGATTCATTTTAAGGTGTTTTTAATGTGGTTTTATATGTTTGGTTGTGAAAAAACGCATTACATTAAATGTCTGCTGGTCTATTATTTGATTGAAAATGTAGTTAATAAAGTAGTTTGTAACATAACTGTGAATAAACTTCTTTGGAACAGATTGTTGATATGCTATGCACCTAAATAATGGAATTGGCAGTGGAACAATTCCATTTAGATCACTGACTTGGGCACAATAGTAACATTCGCGTTCCAGCCATTGAGCAGGCGTGTATTTTTCTCTGAGAAAGTGAATCCTGCATTTATAACCACGTTATTCTCTTGTAGGCTGCCGCGTGACGGATGAAATTTTGCACCTGGTGCCCAACGTAGAACACTTCCGCATGACGCTGCGCGCCATCAAGCTCTGGGCAAAACGTGAGTGTCGTATTTCAACATGTCACTTGTACAATCGGCTTTATAATAATTATTTCGCACCTCCGATTAGCACGGTTGGCTACGTAAGGTGCGAAAGAAGTTCAACAGACGTACGTTATAGTTCATCAATGCTTTGGCTTAGTCTAATTTGTAGATACCGCAGCTACCGTGATGGCCGTTAGTAGATACGGTGGGACTTATTTTCGCCGACGCAGCAAGTTCACTGCTCAGGTGTATAACCCTCACCAACAGTAACAGAGAGCATGCCAAGGGTGAGAGGCAAAGCTTTTACTCTTGCCCGACCGAGAGCTCTGACAAACCCCTACTGGTGTTTACACACAGCGATCCAACTTGACTCGGGTACACTCCCATGATCTTGATGCACATTTTGAGTACACAGTGTTCCCGGTCAATGTTGACTGAATCAGTTTTAAATAACTCTCCTGACTTGCTAAAAACACACTATGAATGGTGACAACGTATTGTTAGCGCAAAATGCTATTACGCTTCAAGTTTCGAACAAGGAGCAACTTTTTTATCACAAGTGGCTAGTGATGCCAGGTAGCATTGATACCACCACATTTCATCATTGCTTCCTTCTGTTAGATATCTTAGCTCTTTTGCACTGTCAACACCCGACCTTTAAGGTTTTCCCTTACAGTATCCCACTACCTACAGTGAGGGGAAAAAAGTATTTGATCCCCGGCTGATTTTGTACGTTTGCCCACTGACAAAGAAATGATCAGTCTATAATTTTAATGATAGGTTTATTTGAACAGTGAGAGATAGAATTACAACAACAAAAATCCCGAAAAACGCATGTCAAAAATGTTATGAATTGATTTGCATTTTAATGAGGGAAATAAGTATTTGACCCCTCTGCAAAACATGACTTAGTACTTGGTGGCAAAACCCTTGTTGGCAATCACAGAGGTCAGACGTTTCTTGTAGTTGGCCATCAGGTTTGCACACAGCTCAGGAGGGATTTTGTCCCACTCCTCTTTGCAGATCTTCTCCAAGTCATTAAGGTTTCGAGGCTGACGTTTGGCAACTCGAACCTTCAGCTCCCTCCACAGATTTTCTATGGGATTAAGGTCTGGAGACTGGCTAGGCCACTCCAGGACCTTAATGTGCTTCTTCTTGAGCCACTCCTTTGTTGCCTTGGCCGTGTGTTTTGGGTCATTGTCATGCTGGAATACCCATCCACGACACATTTTCAATGCCCTGGCTGAGGGAAGGAGGTTCTCACCCAAGATTTGACGGTACATGGCCCCCGTCCATCGTCCCTTTGATGCGGTGAAGTTGTCCTGTCCCCTTATCAGAAAAAACACCCCCAAAGCATAATGTTTCCACCTCCATGTTTGACGGTGGGGATGGTGTTCTTGGGGTCATAGGCAGCATTCCTCCTCTTCCAAACACGGCGAGTTGATCTTCTTTGGTTCTTTCGGTAAAGTCACGTAGAATTAGAATAACATAATAAAATAAGACAATAAAATTCTCACGACGTTTCGGCCACAACACAAGCGGCCTTCAGGTGAAAGAACAGAACTGTCGGGACGACAGTGCTTCAGTGAGTGCTGCTGACGGCGAGTTGAGTTGATGCCAAAGAGCTCCATTTTGGTCTCATCTGACCACAACACTTTCACCCAGTTGTCCTCTGAATCATTCAGATGTTCATTGGCAAACTTCAGACGGGCAGGTATATGTGCTTTCTTGAGCAGGGGGACCTTGCGGGCGCTGCAGGATTTCAGTCCTTCACGGCGTAGTGTGTTACCAATTGTTTTCTCGGTGACTATGGTCCCAGCTGCCTTGAGATCATTGACAAGATCCTCCCGTGTAGTTCTGGGCTGATTCCTCACCGTTCTCATGATCATTGCAACTCCACGAGGTGAGATATTGCATGGAGCCCCAGGCCGAGGGAGATTGACAGTTCTTTTGTGTTTCTTCCATTTGCGATTAATTGCACCAACTGTTGTCACCTTCTCACCAAGCTGCTTAGCAATGGTCTTGTAGCCCATTCCAGCCTTGTGTAGGTCTACAATCTTGTCCTTGACATCCTTGGAGAGCTCTTTGCTCTTGGCCATGGTGGAGAGTTTGGAATCTGATTGATTGCTTCTGTGGACAGGTGCCTTTTATAAGGTAACAAACTGAGATTAGGAGCACTCGCTTTAAGAGTGTGCTCCTAATCTCAGCTCGTTACCTGTATAAAAGACACCTGGGAGCCAGAAATCTTTCTGATTGAGAGGGGGTCAAATACTTATTTCCCTCATTAAAATGCAAATCAATTTATAACATTTTTTACATGTGTTTTACTTTATTTTTTTGTTATTCTGTCTCTCACTGTTCAAATTAACCTTCCATTAAAATTATAGACTGATCATTTGTCAGTGGGCAAACGTACAAAATCAGCAGCAGATCAAATTATTTTTTTCCCTCACTGTAACTGCAATGCCTGTCTTGATAAACTGTTCTCCACCCTGTACACTTGCCCCACCCATACCAATCTTCTCTTCCTGATTACATATTTAACACTTAACACATCCTACGATGAAATTCCTAGTATCCCGTGCATCCACCAATGTTTGCACATCATGTTTAACGACGCCGTGGTGACATACGTTGGTGTGTGCGCATTATCCTGCCCGTTGTTGTCCAGGCCGTGGAATCTACTCGAATATGCTGGGCTTCCTGGGTGGCGTGTCATGGGCAATGCTTGTGGCACGAACCTGCCAGCTCTACCCCAACGCCATCGCCTCCACCCTCGTGCACAAGTTCTTCCTTGTCTTCTCCAAGTGGTGAATGGCAGCTGCATTCGTCCGCTTATTCGCTAATTCATTTATTCAATACATATGCCTTCTGCAAACCAGTTGACAGTGCGTTGTTGAAAGTGAGTAATTTATTATAGTGAACTTGATTAGGTGCAGTAATTTGTTGCCTCGCAAGGCTTTCTTGAATTTAATTAATAGCCTAAGAGCTCAGTGAGTGTGTGGATGCCAAGTCTCTTGTGCAAAGGAGACCCACTTGTAAGTACAGGAGAAATATTATCATGTAAAAAATCAGTCGAGAGAACACAACAATATAAATAGAACATGGCAATAAAATCTAAGTGCCTTTCTTGGGCCGATGGTGGCAATTCCACATTACCGTAATGGTTGAAGCCTTTCCATAGGATGACGGCTGTTGACTGCCCCACTTCGCGGTTTAGTAGAACTATAGTACAAACAAGCAAAGCATGAAAACCAAATAATTTTTACATTCATGTGATACCATTGTCTCCAATAAAATAAAAATGTTCAGCTGTGATGACATACATTTCTGTGTTTCTGCAGGGAGTGGCCTAAGCCTGTACTTCTGAAACAGCCCGAGGAATGTAACCTCAACCTGCCTGTGTGGGACCCACGGGTAAGCACTGCTTGTCACAACTCAGAGGTCAGATGTCCTGTCATGTTTGCTTGTTATGTTCCACATTCGATCAACTTGGCTGTCTCTCCATCACTGGTTTTGTAATTATAATTAATCTTGTATTCCTGCACATGCATGCATGTTTAGCATGATATATTTTTTGTTTGAGTCGGTCGTTATATAATTGATGTGTTATTATTTTCTCAAGGCATTATTCTGTTTATTAACCCTTCTATGATTTATTTTCCATTTCTGGCAGACCATTCTTTTCATTACACTGACAGCTTATATGCCATCATCTGCTGGTCAGCGTTTAACACATTTGTTTGGCCACCTTGATTCTTGTCCACCCAGGTGAACCCAACAGACAGGTACCACGTGATGCCCATCATCACACCCGCGTACCCTCACCAGAACTCCACCTACAACGTCACCATGTCCACACGCACCGTCATGGTGGAGGAGTTCAAGCAAGGTGGGAACTACGATTACCTCTTCTGTTGTAACTTCTGCGGGTGACTCGGTTGTAGTTGTGTAAATGGTTTCACCACTGTTATTCGATCGGCAGGTCCCGCCTCTTCCAAGATGTCTGGCCAGTGTAGAAGAGTCGGCCAACTACCCTCTGAAGCTCCCAATAATGGGGAGGCCCTTCCACCGGCTGTGGCGTGAGTGGGAAATGGCAGGGCTGCACCTTCACCTTTTCATGTCATTTTGCAGGACTCGCCATCACCGATGAAATTCTGATGGGCAAAGCGGAATGGAGTAAGCTGTTTGAGTCGCCAAACTTTTTTCTCAAGTACAAGTAAGTTTCAAATGTGTAAAACGTTTCAAGGGGCATCTTCCTGAAATACATTTGTATTTTTAGACAGGATCATTTAAACCTCCTTTGTGTCAGGGTTTGCTTCTAGAAAGTTGATGGTCTAAACCTGGCCATAATTAATTGCACTATAATGATTTTATATAATTTGGTGTTTTACTTGAATTAGGCTTTGGGCATAAACATGTGTAAACATTAGAAAGTTTATAAGAGCATGCAGGAGTAGCTTCTGGTGTTGGATAAGAAAGGCCTATTGAAGCGACTCCAGAAGTAGTTCTGTGGTGTCATTTTCCAGGGCCCTTTCCTGTGGTGATACGAGGTTCTCTTGACTGAAGGAGTCCTTGAAGTATGTCTATTTACCTCCTAGCATGGCTCCATTAGCACAATCAAGATATATTCTTGGTTCTTTCGGTAAAGTCACGTAGATGGGAAACAGTAAAATAATAAAAATATAAAACAATAAAATTATCACGTTTCGACTGCAATACAAGCAATCATCATCAGCTGTGAAAACCACAGCAAGAAATTTTTTCTTGCTGTGGAAATTTTTTTTCTTGCTGTGGTTCACACCTGATGATGAACGTCATGAGAATTTTATTGTTTTATATTTTTGTATTGTTTCCCTTCTACTTGACTTTACCGAAAGAACCAATAATATTAATTCCTGCAGTCACGAAAGCTTTAAAAAAAAAATCAAGATATAGTTAGAAAAAAAAGTTTGTGTTTTCTAAAACATCTTGGATCTTTTACCATGATTAAAAGTTTGCATTATCTTGTAGGCATTACATCGTACTGACAGCAAGTGCACTCACGGAAGAACAGCACCTAGAGTGGTAAGTCCTGGATACCGTTTGGTCTTTTTATACACAAACCTTTTGAATGAATACTGCCTTATAAAATAAAATATATAAATAGTGGTTTGTTTTGGTGACAGGCAGCCATTCTATCATCCTGTACGATGACTTGTCAACAGTCAAATTGATCTGACATAAAATACCAATAATGGTTATTGCAGGAGGTAATTTAATTTATATTGCCTTTTTAAAATAATGAAGTTTGAACGCATGAAAACAAGTGCGTGAAATTGTTTACATAATAGACATTAACAAATAGTAATGATTATATTGTTTATGTTGTTAAAGGCCTAAGGACATAGCGCCTGTATCTCTATCAGTGATATTGTAACTTTGAAATAGGTTTAAATCGTCACAAGCTGGTAATGCAACTAATGAAGTCGTGACACTGCTGCTAACCTGACCGTGTGTCAGGGTGGGACTCGTGGAGTCGAAGATCCGCATCCTCGTTGGAAACCTTGAGCGCAACGAGTACATCACTCTGGCTCACATCAACCCGCAGTCCTACCCCGGCCCCAAGGACAACCCGGACAAGTAAGCGGCGCGCTGAGCTCCCCTCCCCTCTCTCGGCAAACCCTGCACACTGATTCGCCGCAAGTGCTGAGTCTGCTTCACAGTGCAGTACAACGTGGGTTTATAGTCTCACTGGTAGCAGTGAAGAAAAGTGGTGAAAACACTGCGCAATGAACCTGGTTACCTGAGTTTGTTTTATGGCCACAACTAACATTAGTGATGAGTGATATATAAACCGATCCAGCCTCCACCAAGCAGTATGGTGAATTATGGGCAAACAGTGCCCATTACCAATGTAAAATTGGGAGGCCTCCATCCAGAAGTGGATTAAAATAGGATCAAATTTTTTTTATGGCACCACATCTTCAAACTGCTGAAGCTGCCCAGAAGATACAAATCTTTTCTGCAGTTTCCTTGGAATATGCTTTCCTATAACACTTCTAGCATCCCAGCAGAAGTTTTTTTAACAATCTGACTGCTGATGAGACCATGAAGGTTGAAACTGATCTAGTTCATACTTTAAACACTACAAACATTGAAGGTGTAGGCAGCCATGTTTAGAAGTTCTTCCGATTGCCAGGTTCTTCATGAATTGTATCTAAAACTGCATGATTGTACAAAGTTTTAATGATTTGTATTGTTTTAGTTTCGTGCTCACACACAATCTTAAAAGCAAGGAAGCTCATCTTCATAAAACATTTTAGATATCTCCTCGTTTTGGTATTTCAGCTGTTGATTTCTATAACTTTGTTTTCAACAGGCAAGGCGTGACAACGGTTTGGTTCATCGGGATCATCTTCAAAAAGTTGGAGAACCCGGAGAATGTGAATGTGGACCTGACGCTAGACATCCAATCATTCACTGACACGGGTGAGTGCTCACCCACGGCCCTGGTCTCTTCTTTGAAGTGGTTGAGGTCTATGATTACTGGAGAACGGACATTACATGAACCGTGGCTTTGCGTGCTGCAGTTTACAGGCAAGCTGCACACATCAGCATGCTCAAAGAGGGCATGCAGATCGAGGCCATCCATGTCAAGAAAAAGCAGCTCAGCCAGTTTCTGCCCGGTGATGTTCTTCAGAAAAAGAAAAAGGTACCTGCTGATGAACATACAGGATTTTACGAAATAAAATTCCATTTTGTTGTGGTTCAGGCATCATGCCTCACCAGCACTTGTTTTCTTTGTAAATTCGAATTCATTCTTAACTGTTTTCATTCACATGATCCGTAGTATAGAGCACAGCATTATTTCATTGATTTGTGTACTTTTTTTAAAGGCAGGTCAGAGCCCAGTTCAATTAACCATCACCTTTTCAAGGATGACCTGGTTAAACCAAAGGAAAAACAGTAAACACTTGCTTAAAATGTAAATTGCAACATTGTAAAAAAAAAATCCGAAAATATGTAGCATTAATAACAAACATTAACATTCAACTAGAGATTAAGCTTATATTGATATACATTTTAAGTGAAGTATCTGATATTGTTTAACCCCACATACATTCAGAATCAGAGTATTTGTTTTATTTATCCTGGAGAAATAGTGAGCTATGAAGCTCTTTTTCACAGATGTCCAGTCGGTCCAAATTCATATTGCTATGTCAATTCATGTTGAACAATCATTCCAGCTTAACCACGAATAAATATGGTCATGTTTGCTCGTTCATTCACCTTCCCAAGACGTTTCACTTGTCACTCGTCCGAGCGTAAATGTTGTCACAGGCCACGGGGGGAGGGGGGCGGGGGCCACTCTATATGAGCTCTGACAAGGACGTTCATGATTAACCCACCGACGGCTCGGCTTGCGCTTTGGCAGGAGAACGGGCGAAGTGGCTCGGCGCGCACCTCCCTGAACAGCGGCAGCGTGCTCGACTCGTCGAGGGACTCCGACTGCAGCTTCTCGTCGCCCACCATCATCCGTGTCCTCAACTCGGACAGCAACCAGCCGTCCTCTCCGTGCGTAGGCGCTGCTGCTGCTAAGTGGAGCCGCATGCGTAGACATTTGTGGAGCCGCATGTATAGTGGTCGGCACACAAGGAGCAACTTGCTGTTTTGTTTTATTCTGGTGAACGCTAAGGTCCCCGTTGTAGATTTGATATTTTTTGCTCTAGTCCATGACAGGGCAAAGTAGCAGTACATGACAGTACTTAATATTAATGTTGTCCGTTTCCCTGTGGCTCAACAGGCCAAGCTGTAGTTACTATGTAAAATATTGGTTGATGTGTTAGCAGAAAACACTTGTCGGTAATTGTTATCGCATAAAAATTGTTAAATCAGATTTTTTAAATCTTAGTCTTGTTGGCTGCCATTTGACAAAGACGAATGCCTTTCTGCTGAAGTGTGAGTATTCAGCTGCCTCAATTATTTAATGCAGTTTGTTTTTACAGTAATAACTCGCTTCATGTTGGGGATGTGTTCGTGAAAAGAGCGACCAATATCGAACCGACGTCAATCAAAGCAATTTTTCCAAAAGAGCTAAACGACAACGGATTGCATGGTGAAGCTTTATGTTAATGCGTGCATCTTCATCCTAGACATACCCACAGCGTTACATAAAATTACAAAAAATTCTGTATTCCACATTAATGTACAACAGTAAGCTTTAAGATTAATTATACAGAGTACAATAAGATGCAGTCCACTATAAAAAAACAATACAGTACATAAATACTATATTGTACTCGACAGTGGTACATTTCTTTATGCTCGACAAAAAGTAGTTCTTGTACAGGGTTGGTGAAGGCAAAGGCTGAGGTAATGGATAACAAGAAAGAACGGATGCTGTGTGGGTTAAGGCAACAGAAATCAGGTAGTGGCATTCATAAAGTGACGACGTTAAAGGAGACGTAAATCGGGGTATTGTAGAAAAGGGCAGACAAAGACCAAAGTTGTGATTAGGCACCCGGTAAAACACCGCGAACGTTGATGTCTTTCCCCGTTAACACCGACGCGTGCCTCTCCTCCCCAACCCTCGCCCTTCAACCCCCTATCCGATCTCTCTTCCTTCCCGTCCCAATCCCCCTCCCGCCCCCCATCATCACCCCGATTCCTCATTGCCCCCCACAGGGTGACCGGTGAGAATGGCAGTGTCTCCAGCCCTTCGGCGTCGCCCCCTGTGGCGGCCGACGACAAGTCGCCCTCGCCTCGGACGCCATCGCCAGAAAACCCCAGCATGCCCGTTGCCGGCAATGCCATCCCAGTTATCTCCACCAGTAAGCTTGCTCATCACGGCAGTTAAAACCTGCGCCAAAATGTCCTAATTCTCCGGCAGTTTTAGTCTAGCGTATGGCAATATGTTCAGGAGTTAAATGATCATGTCGACGTCAACTGGCCCACGACCGGAGGGCTTCAGGCGAGAGGTCCACGAGTTTTGCTGTTCATTCTCCATTGAAGGGGGCGCAGATTACAGTGGTATGATAGTGCTCTAGCACGATCATACATTCATGGTTTTATACTGTGACTCATATTTCACGTAGCCCGTTTTATGCACGATTAGTTTTCATTTTGTAAAATTGCAGCTGGGCAGTATTTATGTATGTTGAACTTGCACACCGTACATAGCTAACTGTGCTAATCGGCGGTGCGGGGGAAGGACAACAAACTAAACCCAAATCATTTCTACATCATTTTGTTTTAAATATAGATTTAACCATCGATGGAAATTTTTACTTTAAAAGCAGTCATGTGCTCCATCCTCATGTTCTAATGACATCACTGCATTGCCATCAATGCACAAACTGACAATATTTCATGCCATTCTAACAGTATCGCTGATAAATGTGTAAAAAGTAGATTTTGCAGACAGGAGACAAAGCAACTTGCTGTTTTTGGCTTGATGTTTATACAAGACATATACATAGTATGTTGTACAATTTGTGCATAGTTAATTTAAGAATATAAATTATTTTTTATATTATTTGAGCTACATCTTTGTTAATTTCGTACGGGAGAAAGAATTGTGTTTGTATTTGTTTTTAGTGTCGCATCGTCTTAAAGCAGACGAATTCTGATTCTCAGATTCTTCCGCCTTCCCCCAGGGTCCGTGCGTGTACCCCCCCATCATCCCTCCCTTCAAGTGTTACGGCTGAGTTACCGTGCCACGTTTGCGCTCGCAGGGCCTCTCCACGCTGCCTCCGTCCCGTCGGGGACGGTCGTACGGGTGGTGACGCCCACGCGGCTCGTGAACACGCCGCCGCCGGCCACCGGCGCCCCCGCCACTGCCGGACATCCCACACCGCCGCAGGGAGTCAAGCGGCCGCAGTCGCCCGGAAGCAAGACGTCCCCACCTAAGCGGCACAAGAGCCCCCCGAGCGAGGCTGCCCCGGCTGGCGACTCGGATATGGACACTGACTCCGTGAGCCTCTCTCACCATCGGACATTTACTCTGGTCAATGACGACCTCCGCTGGAAAATAAGAAACAGAGGTGGCCGCTTGCCAAAGGAGCCTCATTATGGCCGTTATGGAACGATGAGCCGATACCGCTGAGGGCCTAGGTTCGATACGGGATTTAGCCACGCGCAACTTAAACAACCTAATTTATTGTTATGGGTTTTTTGTGCAGTCATTGTCAGCTAAGCTGAGACCATCAGCTGTCTACACTTGAATTTGCAACCCAAAGGACATTTCTTTTTGTGTTTATAAGTATACCTAGGTTGCTTGTACTGGGTTATCCAACGTGAGTTTGAAGCATTGTTCATCGGAAAATTAGACTTTCAACTTAACAAGGCAAACCAGAATAGGATTATTGTGACTTAACATGTACTTTTAATACATCCGTGCAATGACATCACTAAAGTGCTGTGGTGTTTTTTTTAAGTCTTTGTTTTCCCGTCTCATGAACGAAGCTTCACACTTGGGTAAAATAGCCTGGGACAGCTTCGGTGAGTAACTACAAATAATAACCTCTGCTTTTCATGTTGCATATTATTTTAAAATGTGTTCCCAGTTGTTGAGTCATTGGTGAACAGTCTCCACCTGTTCACAAATAGCTGCACAAAATTCCCATTGTGTTAAATTTCAACTTACAATTCATCGTATACTACCTCTGAGATTATTTGTAGTGTGGCCATGTTATTACATGGGTTTGATGCGGGTTCTCTGGTTTTCTTACATTTTTACACTGCACCAATGAGGTAACAGGGTAACACTCGCCCATGCAGCACCCTCCTGAAAGTCTGACACTCTCGTTGAGGCTTTCATGATAAAGGACTTGTAGTTCATAAAAGAAAAGATCGATATACAAAATGTGTTTTGTTTTGCATCGAATGTTTTGCTTTGGGCTGATTTATTTTTCTGCACGTTTTATTGGGATTTTTTGCTTCATTTGTTAATAAACATTTTTCACTGCATTCCTGTTTTATTCCATGAAACTCGTAATGGGATTTTACCTGTACAAAATAAAGATTGATTTTACTTACAAGTGAGAGTTCATTGAAATTCGTTTGTAAATATTGCAAGAAAGACCTAATAATGTAAATGAGAGTATTTTGTGTATTACAAACGTCCCAGTGAGATGCCGTGCTTTGTTGGTCTGGATATTTCATTTTGGGCCAAACTGGTTTTTTAAGTGTGTTAAGCACATTCCATTACTTCGAAGCCAGTTGTGGTGTGCACGCCTGTAATCCAGCACATTGGAAAATCGAGGATTGGTGGATCATGCAGTTGTGTGAGACTCCCCAAACCCACTGGGATACCAAGTGGCCAGGAGATGGCAGTACAGAAAATGGGTTCGTGAACCCTTCTGTGAGTTTACTCCGGGTACTCCGGTTTCATCCTGCACGCAAAACACTTCTAACAAAAATGTGTCAAACATTCCAACACGGGAACCAGCTGAAAGAGTCTTGAGGCTCGATGAGACTTTATGGCTTGCATAAATAAATGACATTTCCTTACAGTGTTAACTAGGATAACGAGAGTACCTGTGTCTTTGTCATTGCGCAGCAGCCACTGAAAAACAGTGACACAGGCAACGCTGTCACGAAAACTGGCGCATCTGAGGACTGCGACATTCTGGTATGACCGTCCGCAAACACAACAGCAAGGCTTTTCCTAAATGGCACTGACACGTTTCATCCGTGGCCATGGAACATTTGAATTTCTTTTTTATTTAAACCAGGGCATACCCAATTTCCCCGTGCACCCATGTCTAGATTAATTCATATGGACTGTTATTGGAAAAACTCGACAGTTAATTTGGTGCATTCTTGATATGAGCACGCTGGGAAATTCTGTACAGATAATCTGCAGTGTTTTTGGGATTTGAAAGTTTTGTACGACAATTGGAAATTCTGTACATTAGATGTGAATGTGTTTAAAGTGGCTTGTGTAAACAAGAGCTCGTTGCCAGATCCTAATGAAAATACTTGCTCGACATGTCTTAAGTTTCCACGGAAGGCATTGACCTCTGTCGGCCAAAGCTCCAGAAAATAATTAAAAGTTGGGGACTGCACATTGTCTAAATTATTGTGGAAGCTCTGCAGATAACAAACTCGTGGATCCTGGAATGCAAATAGCCGTTTCTACGCATTTAAAAGGTTCCAATGCTGGCAACCAGCTCCTAATTGCATTTTGATACAATTGCCTAGAGCAGTTCATGCCGCGCAGAGTACTGTTTACACACATACAATACGTAAGAGAAAATACTTCTCAGGGACGTGTAAGAGTTAATATTACTGTTCTAGTGATACTGGAGATGTATTTAGATATGTTTTTTAACGTTTTAGTGGACCCCATTCTACAATGTTCTGCTTTTTTTTAAACCCTAATAAAATGTTAATGTAAGTTTAAGTCGTATGATCTCTTGAATTTTATAAACGCATTCAAAGTATTGACTCCAGCTGTCATCCTCATTCCCTGAAGCAGCAATTGGTGTCTGCACACAGCACTACCCATGTGTTGCATACATTTCCGTGGTCTCCCAACAAACCAAATGAATTGTTTTCAGCTGACTGAAACTAAGTTAAGTTTTCAGTAACAAATGGAGCCTATTCCTGTAGTTGTGACAAACAATCCCAGTTTGCCTCACTTGTATAAACGTGCTGTCAGCCTATTACAGACATTGTACTGCATTGTACATTACAAGTGAGGTTTTTACTGCAATACATATAAGCATGAGAGGCTTTCCTTTTCCAGTTCTAAAACCCGAGGTGGAGTTTTGTTTTCAGGCAGTTGCCCATTGAATTCCACAGCAACCCATCGAGTTGGATTAATTATCCTTTCATTCAACAACTACCCATCCCCTCCCACTGGCCCAGAATTCAGTGGCTGCAAAGCATTGCCGTGATTAGATTTAAAAAAGGACTATATACTTTTTATTTTGGGATTCAATACATATTAAATCGTACAAGAAAATATTGAGTTGTAGCTATCATGTGATCCTCACCGTAACATTTAACCGCATCTTAAATCATACCTCGATGCGGTACGCGGGAGATGTGCAAGTTGTTTATAGAGAACTGGTCAAGCAATTGCAGAACTCATTGTGCAGTTACTGAATGGGAGGTGCAGCTGCTTGTTCATCCTCTTGGCCAGAACTTGTAGGTTGACCAGGGGCATCAACAACTTGACAATGAGAGCCACTGTGGTAGGGCAACATGGTGCCCCTGGCTGTACATTTTGAGCTCTTGCAAGCATGGAAGCCGAGGTGCTGCGCTTAATCCTTGCCTGCCGTCCCGTGAGCAGGAACTTCGGGAGGAGACGACGCCTATACAAACAACCGACGTGCAAACGGAAACGCAGGTGGGCTTCTCGCACCCTCCAGCACACACCGTCAACAGCCCTTGAAGCGTACTGTACATTATAAGACAATCTAAAAAACAGGTTCCATATTGCAGATGCACACCTAATCTGTGTGTCCCAGTCCGTCTGACACGAGTGACACTTTGTTAATGTGTAACAGAAATCAACTTTGTTGTCCAGTTTATCATGATGGTACTCGAGCAATATTACCGATTTATTTTTATAACAGCATCTCTTGAGCGCTATGACAGTCCCTGCTCAAGTGTGGGTGACTAGTGACATCCAGTGTGTATTTGTTATTATTGGGGAGAAAAACCTCATGCGTAGAGATTGTCATCCCACGCGTGTGAACATTTGCACGTGACCACATGTTTTGGAGAATGGAATTTATGCAGACATTAGTGTGGTGTCTTCGAGCATAATTGTGGTTTTAATAACCACACCTCTTTCACAATTTATTATTGCAGTTCACATGCTGCCATATGGAAAAAAACTATATTTCTGTAGGTCTCCTTATTTTTATCACGATTCATGCTACATTATTGCACATTTTGACGACTGAATACTGGCCTTGGTCACATCCTAAATGGTTCACTTTGCTTGAAAGTTATACCAAGTGCCTTTTGAGACCCGCAGAAGCATATTTAGTGTCATGAATCCAATGACCACCTGGTGCATTTATGTTGGCAGAAACAGGCCAGCAACGAGCTGTCTGATGGCTCCGCGCCAGTTCCCACCGCCGTGAAGGTTGTAAAAAACTCCATCCGTCTCAAGCTCAACCGGTAGAGGCAGGTAATGCTGCCCCTTCTCGTGTGCCCTGCCAAAAGTACTCGCTGCACCAGTTGCCCTTCCTGGAGGGCGGTGTTGCTATCATTACTTATTTTTTTTACATTTTTAGAATGTGTTCCTTCGTTGCGTATTGTCACGTTCTTCGGAAATGCTGGAAGCCGCAGGAAACCTGAAAATGGCGCAACATAAAGAGCTGCTGGAATCATTTCAGAACTTTTATTTTTATCCGGGTCTTTTTTTTAGCTTCCACTTTTTCTTCTCCAGCGGCGGTGGTAAGCATGCCTCGTGTACATGAGAATGTTGGCCGAACTAAGAAGGAACATTTCTGCTAAAAATGTTGATACGTAAAAAGGTGGTGATTATTTAATATATACTTTCCTGTTCTTATTTGAACACGAGAGGCTTGTGTTGGGAGTGAGCAAGTGAGCAAACTTGTTTTTTTAGGCGGAACGGATTAAGGGGTGTCAGGGGTGCAGGGTGGATTTGGTTGGACAGCAAGTTTTTTTTTTCTCATGGAATGAGACCCAACAAAAATCTTTAAAAAAACATTTGGGGGGATCACATGACACCAAGCTCCCCCCCACCATTTAAATTCTTTACTGAATAATAAGCCCAAAAGAATCTCAGAGGAACTTTGGTTTTCATGTTGTTGACTTATCTTGAATTTGGCATTGGTCAAGCCACATTTTCGCAATTTTTTCTTGTTCTCATCAACTACATACGTGCAGCATGTAATTGTCTTTTCTTTTTTAATTTGCCTTTGGTTTTGCTTACAAAGACTCAAAAATGAAAAATCCTACCCATTAACAGTTTGAGACAACAATGTTATCCCCACTTTTAAATGTCCCGATAAAAAACTAGCAGCCACTTTTGTAATGCATACTACTGTGCAATTTATTAAGGAAAAACATTTAAAAACTTTGAATCTAAATGCCCTCAAAAGGGCTCCTGTTCATAGTTACAGTAAAACAGTTTTCAGTCAATTTCACCATGAATTCTAATGTTTGACGTGAGCGGCGTGGGATGTGGATAAATACACACAGTGGCATTATTTGATGCTTGAAAGGGTGCATGCTTTTGTGTGTATATGTGGACAATTCTTTTTTCCCTCATTTTCCCCCTTTTTATCATCAGAGCGAAGTATATATTTTTTCCATTAATTTTAATGTTCATTGCTGCTTATGCTGCTAGACTGGATCGATCTGGCCACGTTGACGCTTGCCAATCTGCCTAGGCCGAAATTAACTTCTGTGAAACACTGGCGGGTCCTTGGAAGAGGGCACGTCTTGATTTCCTCTGATTGCTTTGTCTCACTTATTCTGTCAGGATGGCTGAATGCAATTGTTGGAATGCACAGTTGGCTGTGTCTTGCAGTTCCATGAACTGTTACAGTGGCTCTCCAAAACTCGCCTCGTCTTCTCCAAAGGAATGGGAATTTCATTGGAGTTGGCCCATTCATGTAAAAATGTTTACTCTTTTTACAACAAATCACATCTGCATTTGAAAATAAATGTGTATTTAGTGTCCATATTCACAGTGTTTCCTGTTCTGAAGGGAACTATTTGTCATGAGAGTAACATTCGTTTTACCACTATTCATCAGATTTGATTTTACCTGTCAGTCATTCACTCACTGCTAGAGAGTCCCCATCTGGCTCATTTCATTTTGTGTGCCATGGCTGCACAGGGAGTGGATATTGATGATGATAAGCTCCGTTCACACTTGTGTGTACTAAGATGACTTGTAAACTTCTTTGGAACCATTGGAAAGATCCATTGGAGCATTTATGAAATATTTTTGCGAGCTGGTCATCCTTAGAATCAATTTATGCCCTTAGAATTATAGTGTGAACAAAGCTTGATGCATCATTTTGCCATGCCTGGCCTCATTAAAGCTTCCGTAATGTAAAATAATAAGCATTATAGAATATCCTTTTTTTTGGGAGTTGAGTCTGTATGAACTTTCTATTCAGCAGTTCCATTTAGAGCTGGAAATTATGAAATCACTGTTCACTGCATGCAGTATTGCTGTCATGGTATAACCATGAAAACACCGTTTTATGTTTTCCGCCATCTGGCGTGGAACAATCTAATCTAATTACCAACTTGACAAGTTGCAGTTACATTAGGACTAAAGTGAGAGTAAATCAGCTTGCCCCCTTAACCTGCTACCATACTCTAATCCTCATACACATTTCAAGCCTGTACACTTGAATAATGCTGGCAAATGAATGAGCTATTTTTTTTTCATTTCTTTTCTAAAAAAAAACTTTGCCTTGGCCTGTGCTTGGTTAGCCTCCCCACGTGAGTCTCCTAAAACGTCACACATGCAGCCGGGAATCCAACATTGACCTCTTAGATGTATTTATTTCACTTAATCCTAAATAATTCCGTAAGTCCGTTTTAAACATTTTAAATTTAATTTGTTTTATTCTGTTCGTTCCTCTTCGTTTTAACCTGAAGGTCTGTAATATATTTTACTAATAAATCAAATTGCAGGTTTTGTATATCTGGCTCCCTCTCCCGCCAGGGAGGGAGAGACGGATGTAGGGGAAGAGATCGGTCAGTGGTTACTTTTCCATTCCATTACCGCTCTCTCCTCCTCGCGATTCTTTTATAACCTGCAGGATGCGTTACATATTGGGGATGATATTTTTGTAACGGATGTCTGTTCTGGAGTTGTTTCTTTTCTGGGTTTCCAATAAACTTTAGAACATTTTCTAGTCTTAAAGCCGGTGTGAGACGCGTGTTCTTTGGTTTACAGATTTTTTAAAAAGTCTTTTGTTTTCTTGGGTGTTGGTGATCTGTTTTTCTTTGATTTAAACATATTTCCACCCTCACATTTAACAGGCAATATAAATAACAAATGTTTCATCTTAAACTTTACATTTATCTGGAAGTGCACCATACTACCTGTTAATGAGCGATTATATTTTGTTAGCTTGGAAATATTTACATGTTCCAACAGGCAATATGGTATAAAGTATGAGTAGCTCATTGCACAAACTTAAGTTGGGCAGTGCAGGTGAGATGCAAAGTTAGCATGCATTAAACATTCTAAACTGATCACTTGTAATTTGTGTTGTCTTAAGAGATTAGATCAAATATCTAAAACAGAGTGGCCATGCAACCAATCACATGAGCATTGGAGACACTGTAGAATTTTTGTATTTTTATGAAGTGCAACCTTGTAACATAACAGTGCGCACAGATGTAAAATATTCTCAAATGCTTGCATGTGATTGGCTGCACATCGCCCATAGTCTCGTGGCATTCAATCTGGACTTATATAAAGTGGGGTGGAAACTAATTAAATTAATCTTTGATGTTGTACACCCAAAGTTGCACAAGTTTCATATAGGTTAGACAAGAGAATGGCCCCATTGATCAATTGAGTGTATTGTGGTCAGACAAAACGAATCAGTTACTGAGTGTGCAATCTAAACCACTCGCCTCATGGTTTCAACCCTGCCTTAGCATAAGCCTATTAAAATGAGTGAAACCGTTCATACGTAACTAAAGGAAGGGAATGAATAAGCACTGCATAGGATCCCGTCACGTTTGTGGAGTTTATTCCTCACATGATTGCTTGCAAAAAAGGTTAAATAGGTACCTGCTCGCACCACATGCTGTCCTTTAGTAACTGCACACGATTGTTCCTGTCCTGTAGATATTTTAATCAACGAAGGAGAATGGGAGAGCCGTTATAAGCTCGCTCCGAGTTAATTCTATTCATTTAGTCTGCATCTAATTTTGTCCACGTAAACGGTCATTAAATTGTTCACAAGAGCAAGCCATTTTAACCTGGTGGCAATGATGCATCATCCTAAGGAGTATGTTACCAGGTTAGCGATTCTGTGTTCTTGCCCATATATAATCTTGGAGGGATTCGAATTGATTCAACTGCCACAAAGGTGGATTGATCTACAGGTGGTGATCATGGTGATGCCCCTGAAGTTGTCGACTCATGGTTGGGAAGCGCTGGTTTTCAGAAATTTGGATGCATTGTGGTGTATCCATGGAAGTCACTGTGGGAATGTATTGAATTTAATTGGAACTGAATTGAATAGTAAGCTTTCTTAAGGATTATTACTAAATACTTTGGAGTTTGTGTCAATAGCAGAATATTAACATTTACTACCTGGTCATGTGGATATCCCACTGTCTGGACAGAAAAATCTACTTTGCAACTTGAGCTTTGCTAGAATATAGTAAATTTACATTTGGTGATCTCTTTTGGCCTTTATGTCTATGAATTGAGTGTCTTTGTACTGTAATCTTTTAAATAAGTTGTCATGCCTTTGCATTGATTTTTTTTGTTTTGTAATAAATGCACCTTTGTATGTTTCTCTTTGATACTTGGCCGGTGTGTTTTAATTTTGTCTGGAGTTAGCATTTCGTTTATATGCACATTAAAACCTCCATAAATGGAGCGAAAGTATGGGTATACCGATTTTTGCATTTCACAATACAATGCATAATGACATGTTCCCTTTATATTAATGGTAATGGCCTTGAACAGACAAGGTCCATATGTCATCATAGCCAAGATGCTGATCCCACCACCACAACTCGCCAAAGCTTTCTACCTTCTTGCTAGATCCCACAGCTGCTGTGCGGTAGACATGTGACCTCCCAAAATCTGCCCTAAAAGTATCCCACAATCTGGTCTTCCCCTTGGTTGCAGAAATCGTGGATACCATTACAAATCCTGTATCGATAACTGCTTAACTGCTCAAAAAGAGTGGGAAACAATACCAAAAACATTTCAAAAAGCTATTTGTACATAAACACATGTTTTGCTAAAAACGAAGATAGGGCGACCATTCACATGCAGCCAACTACCGGGTCGTGGTTTCATGAACTGCATGCAAATATTATTTTAAAGGGTTATTCTTCAAAGAATGCCTCCAACACATTGGACTGTCTTGGATGTGGAACTTGCTAGTTCCAGGTTTAACTTTAAAAAAAAAACTCCACCTCCTGGAGATCCCAAAACATCGACCGACTGCAGGGATAACTTTATGCAACGATACTTTTAAAGTTATTCACAAATGACCTCAGCAACCACAGCCAGGCACTTTGCCTATGCAGATATGTAACAGTAGAATACGTAAGATTTCAGTCGCCTAGAAGAAACCCTGAAAGCTGATGAGAGATGGCCCGCTATCACAAAACACGGAGACTTCAACCAATTGCCGAATACAGGGTGTCCATAAAGTCCATATCTCTTTTATTGAAATCAAAGGAATTTAGGGTAAATTAGGCAATATAATCAGATGTATATTTATTAGAAACACTTAAGCAATGGATTCTCCATGAGTACCGTCAATCTCTGCACAGCTCAAATCTGTCAGCTGCATTGTGGAACACATTTTGCAGCATCTGGAGTTGTTTTTGTAACTGCAGCCCTTATACAATCTTTGAAACCTTGCGGATCTGTAGCTCTTGTTTGATACCTCTGACTTGATAAAGCCCCGTGAAAAGACATCATAAGACGTTCAATCCGGAGATGGAGCTGTCCAGGGTCTGTTGTTGCCACCGAATCTGGCGTTTTAAAAACGTTCATTGAGGTACTCCAGAAACGATGTTTGCGTAATGACGAGGAGCCCCCATATTATTTAAAGGGTTACTACCATCACTTTCCTGTACATTCATATCCATGGGGTCCTGCAAAGAGACTACTGTATACAGTATCTATCCTAAGCTCTCAATAAAATAGGGACTTTCTGGACGCCCTGTATATATGTTCTAGCTGTTTCTATTTAAACCATGCAAAGGACAACCAACAGCTCAACATCTTGAATGGCCACAAAAGGTGCTACCACAATTCAAAGCATGTGTATCATTTAAGAAACACCTAATGGGTTTGCTGAAAATAAAGACAAAAACACACTCGATCACCAAAGTAGCTGCTTTAAACCCGAGTTTACCAACTCACACGGTAAAATCAAACCTGTGCGTGGCTTGTGCTGTTATGTCGCTCAGCTCTTCTCCCACAGGCTTATTGCCTCGTGGCAGTATTGTATATGAAAACAGGCCTCGGGAGAGGCGAGGAGAAAAGACACACTGCTTGGCAGACCAAGAGGGAGCGACGTCAAGAAAAAGCAACAAACACTTCTGGAGCTGCCACCGCATTCACTTGCAATTGCTGTGGCAAGGATTGCCACTCAAGGATTGGCCTACTAAGTCATTCTAGGCGCTGCGAAACCTACAGCTGACCTCGTAAGGCGCAAAAAGAATTTTCTCTCTAGACACAAAGGCCTATGAGAGTATTGTATGTCACCTGAACGCCTGTGTGCCGTAAATCACCCCCACAGTGCCTTCACTATCATTGTCACCACCACCTTTCATCGTCATGTGATGTCCACTGCAAGGTGTTCAGTCGAAAGGTAAGTTGATGCGTGGCTGCATTTAAACTTCACATTACAATACACGCACAATACTTACCATGCTTGCTCCACGTGACAAGAAATGAAGAATGCTGCTGCCCATCCCAATCCTTATGAGCTAAGATGCTGGTGGCAATCAAACCCCATGATCAAAATCGCATGGGGAGGACTTATTCAGCAATGGAATGCCAAAGTACTTAGTTATAGCTCGAGATATTGAATACATAAAAAGCCTGTACTTTTTCTTTATACCATTAATGGCTACTTATTTGAGGACCGCCCGTCCTCTGGACGGGGTGTATCTTTCCAATCGGCCCAGTCCCCTTGTCACAACTCTTCCCTTCGTGTACAAGTTTATCCGTTTTTCTGTTGGCCACTCAACACGCACCAGACACCTGGCACTACTCACGAGACACCTCACTACTCAGACGACGCCACTCACCAAGTCATCCACCTAGAGCTCACCAGCAGACACCTGGCACTACTCACTAGATACCTCACTACTCAGACGACACCACTCACCAAGTCATCCACCTAGAGCTCACCAGCAGACACCTGCCACTACTCACTAGACACCTCACTACTCAGACGACACCACTCACCAAGTCATCCACCTAGAGCTCACCACCAGACACCTGGCACTACTCACTAGACACCTCACTACTCAGACGACACCACTCACCAAGTCATCCACCTAGAGCTCACCACCAGACACCTGGCACTACTCACTAGACACCTCACTACTCAGACGACACCACTCACCAAGTCATCCACCTAGAGCTCACCACCAGACACCTGGCACTACTCACTAGACACCTCACTACTCAGACGACACCACTCACCAAGTCATCCACCTAGAGCTCACCACCAGACACCTGGCACTACTCACGAGACACCTGGCACGACTCACTAGACACCACTCACCAAGTCATCCACCTAGAGCTCACCACCAGACACCTGGCACTACTCACGAGACACCTGGCACGACTCACTAGACACCACTCACCAAGTCATCCACCTAGAGCTCACCACCAGACACCTGGCACTACTCACGAGACACCTGGCACGACTCACTAGACACCACTCACCAAGTCATCCACCTAGAGCTCACCACCAGACACCTGGCACTACTCACGAGACACCTGGCACGACTCAGACGACACCACTCACCAAGCCATCCACCTAGAGCTCACCACCAGACACCTGGCACTACTCACTAGACACCTCACTACTCAGACGACACCACTCACCAAGTCATCCACCTAGAGCTCACCACCAGACACCTGGCACTACTCACGAGACACCTGGCACGACTCAGACGACACCACTCACCAAGTCATCCACCTAGAGCTCACCACCAGACACCTGGCACAACTCACTAGACACCACTCACCAAGTCATCCACCTAGAGCTCACCACCAGACACCTGGCACTACTCACGAGACACCTGGCACGACTCAGACGACACCACTCACCAAGTCATCCACCTAGAGCTCACCACCAGACACCTGGCACTACTCACTAGACACCTCACTACTCAGACGACACCACTCACCAAGTCATCCACCTAGAGCTCACCACCAGACACCTGGCACTACTCACGAGACACCTGGCACGACTCACTAGACACCACTCACCAAGTCATCCACCTAGAGCTCACCACCAGACACCTGGCACGACTCACTAGACACCACTCACCAAGTCATCCACCTAGAGCTCACCACCAGACACCTGGCACTACTCACGAGACACCTGGCACGACTCACTAGACACCACTCACCAAGTCATCCACCTAGAGATCACCACCAGACACCTGGCACGACTCACTAGACACCTCACTACTCAGACGACACCACTCACCAAGTCATCCACCTAGAGCTCACCACCAGACACCTGGCACTACTCACTAGACACCTCACTACTCAGACGACACCACTCACCAAGTCATCCACCTAGAGCTCACCACCAGACACCTGGCACTACTCACTAGACACCTCACTACTCAGACGACACCACTCACCAAGTCATCCACCTAGAGCTCACCACCAGACACCTGGCACTACTCACTAGACACCTCACTACTCAGACGACACCACTCACCAAGTCATCCACCTAGAGATCACCACCAGACACCTGGCACGACTCACTAGACACCTCACTACTCAGACGACACCACTCACCAAGTCATCCACCTAGAGCTCACCACCAGACACCTGGCACAACTCACTAGACACCACTCACCAAGTCATCCACCTAGAGCTCACCACCAGACACCTGGCACAACTCACTAGACACCACTCACCAAGTCATCCACCTAGAGCTCACCACCAGACACCCGACACGGCTCCACGAGGTAGGCACCAGACAAGCGACGCTCCTGAAACACTCGGTACACATGGCCCACCACTCTCGCCTGCCAATCACCAGTCGACAGCTTCATCGCTTATAGACGCTCACCAATCCAACGGAGGAAACTCATCACACACCCATGACAGATCAAGTACCGTACCGTACATGTTTCCCTCGTTTTATGCGGTAGATGTGTTCCAAAAAAGGGGCGCGCAAAGCGAAACCACACGAGACAGCTGCCGACCCAGTAGCGCGCAAACAGTACACGGTACACACACAGTACAGGGTACACGCACAGTACACACACAGTACACACACACAGTACACACACAGTACACGGTACACACAGTACATGGTACACACAGTACACGGTACACACAGTACACACAGTACAGGGTACACGCACAGTACACACACACACACAGTACACACACAGTACACGGTACACACAGTACATGGTACACACAGTACACGGTACACACAGTACAGGGTACACGCACAGTACACACACACAGTACACACACACAGTACACACACAGTACACGGTACACACAGTACATGGTACACACAGTACACGGTACACACAGTACACACAGTACAGGGTACACGCAC